TACCTCATATTTTTGTCCATTGATTTCAATAGATCTACTCAGAGTAAGACCTAGTCAGACAAAACCCAATACGTCTAGTTTGTCACACCATGTACCGGTATATTGCTGCCAATTAACTCTCAGACTAAACCAGTGCTTTCTATATTATTGGATTCCACCAAAGTAGTCGAAAACTATAGTTTGTGCAATTTTGATTTCCTTTGAAGTTTGTGATACAACATTCTACTGAAAGCAGCTCTAGTGTTCTAATTCCTCCTTCATCTTTACCCTGCTTCATTGTGTTCATATGCCTAAGTGATTTCCAATTTTTAATGCTGTTAATGTCCTCCCACTAAAAAAAAAAGTTCAAACCAATTGTATTTGTCACAGATTAATAAATCCTCTTATTATGAGCAGACAAGCCAGTGGTTACATTTTTAACTGAGCAATCTGTTAGGTTCAATTTGGGCTATGTGCCAGTGTCATTTTAGGCAGAGCAGAGCAATTGAAACTGTCCAACATATAAATAAGGTAACGCATGCGGATTACTGAATGTCCCTTCTTCGACATTTTCTTTACACAACTCAAGTTATGTGAAAGGGAGGTGATCCTGATGCTCTCCATTTGACTGAATTCACTTCAATATTGTTACAAGCCACCCCAATCTCTGCCGAGTGGTAGAAGCGATTTCAAGAGTCTTGGTGCCTAACCAGGGTTGTGTTTCCGTTGAGAAATCAAGGCATGGTGCCTAGTGCATTTAAGAAATATGGTTTATTGGCACATATTTACACCTGAGTTTATGGAGAGTTCACAGCATTGCCTTCCCAAGAGGGGCTTGTCCTTCCCAGCAGTGCAGCATGGGATTCAGAAGCATCCTAAGTGCCACCCCCCTTTCAGTAACAGCCTGCTCCAGCCAACCAGTATGGCTGCTGCCCTTCAGTCCCTGCATGAGGTTCTGCCCGCTTCCTGCTCCTTCTTCCCAGAAGCTCCTGCTCCCAAAAATCTCTGTTGTAAAAGGGAGCCCACATTTCCCGTGGTGACATCAAACCCCATTACCCTGGCAACCTCCCTCTATGCCTGGCAAAGCCTGCTGCCTGCTTGATGACTTCCACTGAGGGGCTAATGACTGACCATCAGCACCATTGTTTCTTCAGTGACCCACCATCAGCTGGCTGGCCTCATGAGAAAGTTGGCTGCTGCTACTCCCAGCTCTTGCTAAATTCAGGAGTTTATGAGTTTGCACAAATTCTGACCCTTCACTGAACATAGACAATATGGGGAGTTTGCTTCACATAATTCATAACAATATTTTCAATGACTTGTTTTTGAAAATCAGATCGAGGGTGTAATCTTCACCTTTCCAGCCATGCATAAGCAATAAAATGTTATTTACCCTTAAGCAGGTCTTGTAATAAAAGAAAACACTTTTTTTGGAACTAGGAAAAATGAAAAGCATCATTTTTCTTCTAAAATGCCATGCACAATGAGCCATGAACTAGGTGTAAAGGTTTTCACTTTAGGAACTGCAGGAAGCACACACGAAGCAATGTTTCTCTTCTGCATATGCCCACCGGCATGATGGCTTTCTTTAGACACGCTTGCCTCTGTAAACAAAATTCAGTAAAAGAGACAGTTTTAAAACATTCTAGCATCAACAGCAATGATGCAAGTAACCTCTGATCCATATTTTGTAGACACAAACATTTTCTACTAGCAGAAACCAATATTTATCTTTCTAAAGGTGATTGATGTCCACAGAATACTTTCCACCATCTTTTTAAGGTCAGAAAAGAGACGGGGGTCTTGTTTAGTGTCAAAAAGTCTCTGTCTTGTTTATTTGACCTTGCTTTTGCTAACGCTAGTAAAACAATGAAGAAATGGATGGTTAGATCTGCCTAAAGCAGGACTCTTCTTGAAGCAAATTAACTTGAAAACTCATATCTCATTTCCAACCAACCAGTGACCCCATGTGAAAGATGTCCTTAGGATGCATATTGTGGTTGTAGTTATATGTACAAGATGTCAAACAGAACATGTAGGATTTAACCCCCCTGATGCTGCTCGTCTATTTCACTTCCTCCTAAAGGAATATTCCCTATGTATTCCTATGACATTTCTGGACATAAACACACAGAGAGAGACATAAGAGTTTGTCTTCAATTTGTTGTTTCTTCCTTTGATTTTAGTTAAGTTGCTATTATATTGAGAACTGGTCATCAGAGTTGAATTCTGACTTTAATTCAACAAAACGATCACAGGTACTGTATGAGCATGCTGTTGAGAAGTCTGTCCAAAGAACTTGAAGATTATAAAAGTGCAGGATGTGAAATAGATGCCGACATTTACATTGAGAGAAAAGAAAGCGGCTCCCAAGCAGGATCCAGTGAGAAGGGGAAATCGCTTGAGGGAAATTGCACATACAGAATACCAGAACAGGGTGAAGAATATGTTACTTAGCCAGGCAGACATAGGAACAGCTTCCTATAGTCCCATGACAGCTCCACAACAGAGGAGAATGAAAAGAGCAGGAACAAGGACATTGACAGATACGAAAACAGGAGTATTTGCACCTAATACCAGTCCAGTAAGAGAAGTGGAAGCCTGAAGTGAATCTAAAGGGGGGGGGGGTTGCTGTCCTGTAGCCCTCCAGACGTTGCTGGGCTACAAGCCTATCATTTGTCACCATTGGCAATGCTGGCTGGGGCTGATGGGAGTTGGAGTCCAACATCTGGAGGACCACAGGTTCTCCAACCCTGATCTAAAGATGCCACTCATGCTTCATAGGGTCATGCTTGCCTTTTAAAACTATATCAATACTGCCCCAGGCAGCCAAGGAGACGTTTATTTCAGAATGAGCCTGGTGCTAAGTGTGCTCATTTCAGGTACTTTCAAATTAACTATGGCCCTGTATTGATGGTATCACTTGGGAGCTTTATAAAATGATATAAAAGCAGTGTATTGCTAAGAAAAACACAGTTCTGAAACCTGGCTTGTAGACAAAAATGAACACAATGCAATCTCAGAATAACAAAATAATGAAATTCCACTCATTTTCTTGACAGGATATTATGGCTATTTTGTAATGCATAGACTGACATTAGCCCCCAAGACATTTTGGCTGTATGACAGCCCTGCTAAAGGCTTTAGAATGACTGTTCAAAGCTCCTACATCTGCCATCACATACAACTGAAAGACTTTGAAGGTCTTGCCTTGAGTTACAGTCAGCATTCAGGGACTTGCGCTTTTTAAATACCCTTGCCACAATTTCTTAGTAGGCATACTGAAATTGCTTCTCCAGCCATATTCCACTTTTTACTTACAATGACATTGGATCTTGATCTATTGACTAAAAGCTTCCTGAAAAAAACCCCTCTTTCATCACATTAAAACTCAGTGCACTTGTGATGAAGAAATTGGTTACAGAAGCCAATAGGATAAACTACATTTTCTTGCATCCGTTTGTCTGCAACATGGCCTTGCGCATGAAACAGTATGACAAAGGGGACAAAGTACAAAAATACACGATGCACTTAAGGCTGTAATTCTATGCCCAAAGGCAGAACAATCCTAACTATAGCAAGCCATTATAATTAACCCTATTCCAAATTTCGTTTGGAAGTCTCTAGGAGGGCTTGCTCTTGAGACAGAGTTTTGGGGACTGGGATACAACCCAGCAAAACAAGATCTGGAACACTTGGAAACCTCTGCTTGCCCTGTCTACCGCTGCCACTCCCTGGAAGGTCCCTTTTGGGGGGACTTAAAGCAGCATGATTAAAACGGTAAAGGACCCCTGATAGTTAAGTCCAGTCGCAGATGACTCTGGGGTTGCGGTGCTCATCTCGTTTTACTGGTCGAGGGAGCCAACGTTTATCTGCAGTTTTTCTGGGTCATGTGGCCAGCATGACTAAGCCGCTTCTGGTGAAACCAGAGCAGTGCACAGAAATGTTGTTTACCTTCTTGCCGCACCAGGACCTATTTATCTACTTGCACTTTGATGTGCTTTCGAACTGCTAGGTTGGTAGGAACTGGGACCGAGCAACGGGAGCTCACCCTGTTGAAGGGATTCGAACTGCCAACCTTCCAATCAGCAATCCCAAGGCTCAGTGGTTTACACCACAGTGCCACCCGCATCCCTCAGCATAACTTACACCAGTTTACTGGTAAGTTATGCCAGTTGAATTCAGGCTGAGCTGGAGTGAGAAATTTATGCTGGTTTACTTGCGGCTCATCTTGGATGAAAGCCCAAGTTGTGCCAAATTCAAATGCTCTCATCCTGTTGGATCTTGGGCTTGGATTGCACCATTACTTGGTAGTAAACCTGTTCAATTCAGTAGGGCTTACTTCCAAATAAACAAGCAGAGAGTGAGGCTGAAGGAGTTCTTCAGTACTGTAATTCCACCCCAAAGGGTCTGCTCTTGGATTGCAGCAATGCATGGAGGCACTTTCCACTTGATAAAAACAGAGCTACTGCTTGAATACTTCAGAGAAATTGTTCAGGTAGGGAAAAGTAGCAAAAGGGTATCTAAGAAAACCTTCCTTCAGGCTATCACAAAACTGACCTGGGGTTGCTTTGGAGTAACTAATATCTGCCTGAACATGAAATTACTCATCATGGGAGAGACTGGAAGGCAGTTTTACATCAATTGTCCCAGTTTCTAATAATGTACAAATATAATGAGTGACTTGGACAAACCTAGTTATTTGTCAACTCTTAACTGTTGCAGTTGTGCGTCACTTTTCATTATGTAACTGCCAACAATTGTAACTTACTGCCAACAGATTTACCCTTGTATGTGTGTGAGAAAACATTTGAGGGCGGTATCAATTCATGTAAACACAAAAAGTAATGTGCAGACAGGTTCTTAAACTTATGCAAAACCTCAGCACATATTGTTTTGATAATACACATAGTTTTGTCTATAACCTGAATAATGCTGTAAGTGATTATCTTCAGTAAAACATGCAAACTTCCACATACCGGTATTTGATGGCCAATTTTTAATTCTGACACACATGAATTCTCCTTTACCATAATAAAAACATTCAATTTCACCATATACTTTGTCTTTAGATATGTTACACTTTTGTTCACATTGAACTCTCTTTTATATATTTTGATGTAAATGTGACTTTAAAACAATGCATACAACACTGCTAACATTGTCAGTAGAGATTAATTCAGCAAATCACAGCAACCAAAAAGTAAATCAGCCCATTACACCTTCTGCCATTCCCTGCAAGCCATGACATAAGGAATTCGAGCAGCAAATGTGTAATCAAAAGATAAAGTAAAGTTATTGGGGGGGGGGGTTGTCATGATGTATATTACCAACATTGGGAACTTGCTATCAAAAATCTGATCTGTGATTGCACCATTGATTTCCTTGCAGGGTACAATCAAAGCCTGCTGTGTTCAGATTCCTAATGTGTCTTATCTGTTGATGACATTTTCATCTTAACCAGCACCTGAACCGACATACCCTTGACTTGGTATGATCAGAACTATTTCTGTACAAGAAAAGTCACTTAAGCAAACTCATGTATTTGGAAAGCAAAGATAGAAGTCAAATGTTCAGCTGCTTACACATCCATTGGTTTGGTCTAAACTTCACTCTAAAGGTAAAAATATCACTGATATGCAAGAGGTTCCTCTTCCCCGTAAACCTCTGAAGGCACTTCTCTCTCAAAGTCAGGAGGTCTTAAGGGAATGCCTGGCCAGGCTGAATTATTGATGTGATGGAAGTCTCCTGTGGAAACAGATGCTTCCAGTTTCTTCCAGTACCCTGCTGCTATTGCTGGAAACAAAGCATTTTTTTAAAAAAGAATGTAAGTCACAGGATTCATGTTCAATGAAACAGATCAAAGATGTGTTTGATTCATCATGTTTAAAAGTAAGTATTCAGCTTTAATACAACACACTGATGCGTAAGACACATTTCACGCACACATTGACCGCTTGGCATTTTCCCCAAGATAACCCACAAATTAAATTTGAAAGGCATACAGCTGGATATGTCTTACAGTGGCACTCCTATCTATATCTACTCAGAAGAAGCTCCAATGGGACTTACTCTCAGGTAAGTGTGTATAGGATTTCAGCTTGAAATTTATGGGCTATAAAAGGATTATGTATTGTGTATTTTTGAATTGTGTATTTCTTTTCTATGTTTTCATGTTTAATCTTTTATTGATGTGTTCTTTTTATTGGAAAATTTAATAAATATCTTTAAAAAAAAAAAAAGAAATTTATGGGCTATATCCAGTGCTATTTTTCTATAAAAAGTGGTGCTGGAACTCACCACAAACACCTCCCTGGTTCTCTTAGAATGGCAATAGCGCCCACCTGAGAGGTGCCAGAGCTGAGTTTGGGTAAGTTCCGGCTGAAAAAAGCCCTGGCTGAATCCAGCAGCCCTGCAGCGGCACAAAGGACGTTTGTCCACTGAACTGAACTTCCTATCTCCCTCCTGTCCCTTCCAGCTCTCTGCAGCCCCTAACAATGTCAGCTCTTGTGGGCTGGATGACTAGAGCAGATTTTGGGGAGATTTAGGGGCAGAAGAGCAAACAAAGTTCCGCTTGCAAATAACCCATTATATCTAAAATGAATATACTGGGAACTTCCTCTCCGAACACCTTATTTGTCACCTCTTTCTTAAAATCCTTTCTCAAAATTCACCTTTAAGAAAAGGCTTTGATTTAACTTATTGGCAGTTATCCTGAACCAATTGCATCTTCTCATATTCACACATCTACTCAGAAGCAAGCCCTGTTGAGTTCAGTGGGACTTTCCACCAAGTGAGTGTGTGCAAGAGTGCAGCCTAAATATAAAAAAATAGGAAAGTCACATTTAAACTCATTTTTCAGTTCTTCCACCCATTGTTGAGTTCCATAGTTCTAATATGCCCTTATCTACAGGCACCTGGGATTGAATTGGCACAGCATACTTAGAAGCAAGCTTCACAAGGCACTAAGCAGAACAGGGAAAGGAAAAGCTGTTTGATTAGGGGCCAGAATGTCTCCAGCTTTACAAAAGGCTAGATGCTGCTGCGCTCCCATTTTCAGAAAGCCCATCCTTCAAAATAATAGTATGGCTCACCTTGCTTTACAGGCAGATTGTCTAGAGTTAGGCCTCATTCTGTCAAATTTTTTTCCACACGAACTATCCTAAGCCATCAAACCATGCAGAATATACAATCATTCAGATGCAAAGATGTGGTTACACTAATAAAACTGCAGTTATTTTTGGTGGTAAGGAGGACAATTTTTTTAAAGAATGTTCAGAGCAGGGTTTGTCATTAGCCAGTTTTCACCGTGCTAGTTCAGCCAATAGCCTCACTGTTAATACCATATCTTATTTGATAAATCCTCTAGCCATTGCAGAAGGGATCATCAATACGGCTACAGCTACAATTTTCCAATGCACAAATGCTGGTTAGCTAAAAGCCTGATAAAATACTAATCTGCAAGTTTTTGGGGGATAGGAAAGAATAGAGCTCTCCACTGCTCCCCAACTGCTATAAAATGAAAGGGTTTTATTTCAGTATCTTAGCTTGATATTCTCTTAGATATGTTGTAGTATACTTTGTGGGAATTTACATATTCTGAATACAACTGTATTATACAGAACAATCACACAGCTACCTTATTTGTTTTCCTCCTTATCTGCCTAAGTTCATTTCCCCTACCTTCAAGGAAGCCTTGGGGCCCTTAGACACAGTATTTATAGCAAGTGCCTTCACCGTCCCTTCAGCTGCTGTTTTCTTATCCCTTACCTTTTCAGAGTTTCTCCCGCATTTCGCCCCCTGCCATTGATACACAGCTGCTGCTGGGATTCAATCAGAATTTTTTCCCCTCGGGAAAATGCAATGCGCACACCTTGCATCCAGTAGATAACAGCAATGCCAGCCTGTCTTTTAATTTCAACATTGTCTGTAGCAGGTGCAGGAAACCCAGGGTCCTTTAGCCTCCTCTGTGAGGTTTGTTCTCATATCTGGTAATGGCTACTTACTGCCCAAGGAATTGAAAGTGCTCTTTGGAGAGCAGCGCAAATGGGAGGCAGGGCTGTTTGCACTCTCTCCCTGATAAACTGGTCATAATGCTCTGCTTATCAGAAGGAAAAGTGATAACATCAGACAGGGTTTCACACAGCACAAGGCAGATAATTTGAGTTTTTAAAGGAGAGATGGCCATCCCCTAAAGGTTGAAAAGTGAAGAAAGACACAAGATAATCAAATTTCTCTAAAAGTCTGGAGCCCTTTTCAGAACCAAGTAATACTTGCCGAAGTATTCCCTTGACTTTTTAACAACGTGCAAGATTTGAGAGAGAGAAATCACACTGATTTCAAATTTTATTTATTTTTTGAACTGGTCAGTCACCAGGCCCGTAAACCAGGTGAACTACATGTTTACCTGAATGTATGTCCCACTATATTCAATGGGGATTACTTAATAATACGTGTGTTTAGGTTTGCACCCCAAATTAACAGAGAGATAGCAATGTTAGTTACTTGCAAAAAACAAAAAGCAGTGTCTTGAGAAACCTTGAAGACTAACACAAATGTATTGTGGCATAAGATTTCATGGACCAGGGCCCTTTTCATCAGATAACTTCATGCATTTCATGAAGCGGACTCTATCCCATGAAAGCACATGCTGTAACAAATTTGTGATAAGCCCTTAAGGTGTCACAAGTCACTTATTTTTTGCAGAAGAAAGTGTGTGTGAGAGAGCACATCTCTTACACACACACACCACACCCAAGCCCCACAGTTTGTAACAATTTAGGTTGCAGAAAAACAGTCTTCTTGTACCTTAAAATACTTTCTCTCTCCACAAGCTTCTATTGTTTTTACAACCTAAAATAGGCCGTACAAAATGTACGACTATGGTGTGTGAGAGAGATTGTGTGTACTTGATGTCAAGCTTTTCAGCTTTCTTTTACAAAGGTTTAACCCAAAATGGTTTGTTTATTTTTTGAATAAAAACAACACATGTTCTTGAAGAAAACTATAGTAAGGCTAATATGTATCTATTCATAAAACACATTCATACAGAAAGCACAGTCACGTAAGAAGACTATTTTCAACGTTTACAGCCTGCCCTCTCCCAAACATCTTCAGCGTGGCTCACAGAACAAAAATGTTAACAACAACAACAAAAAGAGCAATGCACAAAAAGACCATGCAGCATTAAAGTGAAACCCAACTTCTTAATAATAAGAATATCATTTCCAGACTGTAAGTCACAACAAATCTACTTTGGCGCAGCAGAAACACCTACTCCAATGAAACTATTCCTGAATAACCTGCTTGAACACTGCAACCCAAGAAGCAGGTGTGTGTTGGGTGGGGTGGGGTGTCGAGGTGGGCTGGGCAAATGAAGCGGGGTGCAAAGGAAGAAATCGACGTAAGCTTGCAGGCGACAGACAAGAGACCCCAAAACTGGTTGGTGGTCGTAGATCCAGGCGAGTGGGTGGGATGGGGGCGGGCTGAGTTGAGAGAAGGGCCTCCCCCTCGCCCCCCGTCCCCTCGACGGCTCTTGGGAAGCCAGCGAGCGGGTCCCCTCCCCTTCCCTCCCCGCCGCTCAGCCCCTTTCCTCGCAGCCAGGGGTCATGGGCGGGGGGGCGGCGGCAACTAGGACACGTGGGAGGAGGAGGAGGCGGCGGGGGAGGCGGCGGGGGTCTGGTCCCTCCTCGAGCAGCGACGAGGAGATCATTGCCATCCTGCCGCAATTTCCCTGTGTCATGGCTCCGGTTTCCTAGCAACAGCAGCGAGTCCGGCCGGCAGCGGCGGCGGCGGCAGCGGCAGCGTCGAATCAGCGCCGGTGGCAGCAGCAGCAGCAGCAGCAGCTCCGTCGGGCAGGAGAGGCGAGCGGCTTCCCGCGGCGGCGGCGGCGGCGGCGGCAGCAACCACAACAAGAAGCGGCGCCCGGAGCAGCGTCGCGGAGCGAGCGCAGGGCGACCCCCGTCGGAAGCCGGGCAGGATGCCGGAGGGAGCGGGAGGCGCACTTGGCCGCAGGAACTGCTCGGTGCCGCGGCCGCTGGCTTCCGTGGATCCCCGGCGGCTGCCCATAGCCATACAATCGCGGCTCCTCTTCTAACCGGGATCTGTACCCATGAGCCCAAAGGGGCGTCGGCGTCGGAGGGGGGGCTCCGGGGGGTTGCTTCGCTTTCCGTCCGAGGTGTCCACTCGCCCTGCTGCAAAGTTTCTCCATGGTTTCTCTCTGGGCTCCGAGGAACTTGCCTGCGGCTCCCACGCCCCGCGATTCTCCCCGGTAAGAGAAAAGAGATGGAGCTTCCCCGCTTACAAAATGCTGCCATTTTGAACCGTAAACTCACCCGGGGATCCTCAGCAGCAGCACCCCCACCTCGTCCTCCTCCCTTCTCCCGAAAAGGCTGGGCTGTAGGAATGGGGCTCCGCCAAGATCTCTCTCCGTCCCTTCTCTGCACCATCCTGTCTTTGTGGAGATCCAGGAACATCACTTTGTGATTTCATCCCCTTCCTGAAAAGTGGGGTGGGGGTGGGGAGGGACAGAGAGAGAGAGAGCGAGCCTGGCGCTTTGAAGGTTATGAAATGAGGTGCCCGGCTAAAATGGTCTCACAAATGGGCGCAGCCGCGCAGGTGACCCCCTTTCAGGCTGAAAGCACCTTGGATGGATTTGCTCCAGGAGTGAGTTTTAAATCTGGAAAGTTGAAAGGGTGGGCTGCTCTTATTCGCTGACTCTCCGGTGCAAGCTTCTTTTTCGCTGCCAGCTTTTTTAGCCCTCCGATCCGCAGCTATGCTGGCTGCCCCTCATGCAGAGATTGTCAACAGCGTCGCTCGAAAACTCTCTCTTCCCCCCGTAGGGACTGGCAACTTTGCTAATGACACGATGTAGGACAACAAAGCCCCAGGTATGTCAACCACAAATGTTTCATTAGCCTCTGTCCCTGAGGCAGCCCACCCTCCCAGGGACGCAATAATGTTTAAACTCTCGCTGCAAGCAGCTAACTCTTTCCCAAGGGCGAGCAGCTAATTTGTGCAGGTCAGGGTTATTTACCCAAATGGAGTGTATTTTCATTTATGCCAGAGAGAACAGCAGAGCAAGTGGCGTAACTCGCTTATTTATCTCAAGATGTTCATCTGTCTTATAGACTTGAAATACAGCTGAAAGCTTGGGAAATAGAGAAGATCTCGAATTTGGTTAACGGAACTATTAGCTGGTATAGATCACATTGGGCTATATATCTGAGTGTTCTCTAAGTCCTGAATTCTTCCAGAATTTGGGCTATTTCTCCATAGCATAATAATTACTAACAGAAGCTTTCTTTTTAGGAAACCCAATTGCAGGACTCATTCTGTTATGCTCTTCTAATACTGTTTTGCAAACATCATTTAGCATGTGTTTCCCCAGCTAAGTTAATGCGGATCTTTGTCATAGTACTGTATGGTGATTTTTTTTCATTGCATCAGAAGCTGAAGCATGCACACATGGAGATTTAATCAAGCCCTATTAATGAAGTATCTCCCCTCCCCCCCATCAATCTACACTCTATAATAGTCAAATCATACCAGAGAAGAGGAGGGAAGGTTAAGCTGGCTGTTTAATTACTTTAAGGTGCAGTGTAAGGACTAGGAATGTTTTTGTTAGAAAATGCATGGAGTTGAAATGAATCAGAAAATTGCTGAATCTGGGGATATTTGGGAAATGGGGAGGTTTAGCTGATGAAGGAAATAAGATTATCTAGGATGCTGACTTAACCAGATTTCAAGGCAAAGGATTTAACTTTAGGCAGCATGTTGAACTGATTGCTTTTATCGTTCTTATAATCTATTTTGGACATTCTGGGGAAAGTAAGGAATTCTTTAGTATTTTCAGACTGTCCTGTTGAATACACAGGTGTTGCTTCATTATTTGAATGCTCAGACTATGAACCCCAATTTCATGTAAATAAAAACCTTGCAAATTATTTCAGGCTACTTTGTCAACACAAGAACTTGATTTGTTCCCCCCGGTGATTCAAAGTAGTGCTCCATCTCATTTTAAATCAGGTTTAGCACAGAATCTTTCTGTTTCCATCACATTCTCACATTGATGGGCTGAAAATTCACTGGTGTTACATAACCAGTTACCTTGAACATCTTACATGATTCCAATCAGGCAGATGTCCAGAGGATATCCTCACACCTTAAGCATAAAGGAGGATTTGTGTAGGTAGTAAAACAAAATAGATTCAGAAGGAGTTGCTTCAAAGAAACATTTCTAACGATGCTAGAATTTGGTTATTTCCTTTGTACATTGACAGCTAAATTTCACATTCTAGTTTTATAAAAGCACACAGTCTGTTCAGTGCAATAAATACATGCATGCCCAGTGACCTAAATAAAACAATTCAAGTTGCCTTTCTAGTATCGTTTCCAACGTTTTCTACTGGAAATGCATTTTTCTTTTGCATGGTAGATCACCATACCTAAGTCCCTTGTGTAATGTAACCTTTTGGCCTCATTCAAAGAAGATGCCCTGAGGCTCATAAACAGCTTAGCGACTCCTATAACAAAACAGGAGCCTCCACATTCATAATGAAACAGTACAGATTATGAAAGCCAAACAGTCACTCGTGGTGTGATTAAGGCCACATCAGGCTTCCTTTCCTACCCTTAACCAAGATGGGATGCATTTCCTTATTATTTTATCTTAAGAGGCAAGAAAGTGCTGTATAAGGAACTTTAAAGCATAACCGAGTTGTCTCTGTAAACTACTATCGGTAGATCAGTGTAAGGTTTTGTTTTGGATTCTCTTTATAATGTAGCTCAACCTAACCCTTTCATAATCAGCTGATGCATCCATTTTCGACAAACCTCCCACACTTTACCCACAGGGTATTCATTCAGGAAAGTACAGTCTGCAAAACAAGGACAAAAGCTCCATTCTAGAGTGAGTGCTTTCTTCCACCTGCCTCTATGAGTGTGCATCTGGAGTAGATGGTTAAGCCCATGTTAACATGGTCAGGGAATGCAGGATGGTAGAAGGAAATCAGGATTTTGCCCCTACTCCTGATTTCCATGTGTACAAATAAACGGGTGCACCCTCCGGCTGGCCCATTATTCTTAGACCTGTTCTTTTGGCTTCAGTAGTCCTGACTAGATTTAGGAGAGAGGCGAAATAGGCAAAAGCTCACAAGTGAAGTTTGAGAATTACTTAGAGTACAACCTTCCAATGAAATATTTGCATATTTATAAGGACACCCTATTATTTGTAGGGTGGAGCCAGCCTGCAGCCTAATTTTTAGTCTACATCAGAAATGAGGAGGGATTGGTGTGGAGATTAACAGACATGAAGTATCAATTCGTTCTTATCAAATAAAATACTTGCCATTTCATGCTCTGAAACTACAGAGGAAATGGGGGACAGGAGCAATTGGAGAACCCAGAACAAACAAGGAGGAAATGAACAGGAAGGATGTGACTGATGGGGTAGAAAACGGGACAGCTTGAGAAGGTGTTGGAGGCTACATAAAATGAGGCTGGGACTGTGTGACGGCACATATTGCCCACCTGTGTGTTAAAGAAGAAACCAAAATCCCTGCTGAACCAGGGACTTCTTTGTGTTGAATCCATCCCAGTTTCTCAGTTCATGAAATATAGATGCTAACACGTTTTGTATTGATTCACGCAGAGCCAATGGCAGTAAATCTGCAGGAGTTTGGAGGGCTTCTACAAACCTGCAGGTCCAGGATGAAAACAAACACACAACCACTAAAATAAACTTTGCCTCTAGAATGGAAACTCTCTAGCCTTTCAGATGATGTTGGATTCCTCCCATCTTCAGCTCCAGTCAGCACAGCCAACAATGAGCATTGTAGTTCAGCAAGATCTGGAGGGCCACAGGTTCCCAGTTTTTGTTCCAGCTGCATCCCCACCCCCTGCATCCCCACCCCCTGCTGAACAACCACCCAGTTGTTCAGCGCAACAGATCTTGAGAGTGTTTGTGAAGGTGTACAGCACCTTTGATTCTCTGAACTTCACCTACTGAGAAAGTAAAGGCAGGGGGTATTATTGGGTCAGGTGACCAGGGATAAGTTTTAGGTCTGCTTGCCCAAGGCAATACTTCTATGACAGCAGAGGACAAATGAAAGCCTGCTCTCTAGAGTGAAGTCAATTTAAAACTCACCCCGGCTGACAGACAGGGTATGGGATATTGGGGCTACCTTCTACCTTTATAGTAGTTGAGCAGAAGTTGGGGGAAGAGGGAAGGACCATCAGCAAATAAGTGAAAGCTAGTTAAGAGCATGCCATGTGTGGCCTAGTGGGGAAACAGAGTTCTAGGGTAGACTCTTTATTAACAGTGTGGTCCTATATGTATCTGCTGGGAGGTAAGCCCCGTTGAGTTCAAGGGGACTTACCTCAGGTTAGTGTGTGTGTGTATAAGATGTCATATATTTTGTAGTTAAGTATAGTTATATATTTTGGTTGTTCATAGACTGCTTTTCCACATGCATGCATTCAAACCTGTGTTTAACACATAAAAAGCAAATAACCTGAGCAAGTTAATTTAACAGTAATACATTAATCACAAAACTGGTGCTAAACAATAGCAGCAGCACCCAACCAATAAAGGCAAGAAAAACTAAATAAACTCCAAAAGCAAATGCCTTGTCTAGCTACCTAATAGTGAGAAAAGAAGGGGTTTGCCAGATGTCCCCAGGGAAAGAATTCCACAGTTGCTGAGCCACCACTGAAAAGACCCTGCACCTGACACCTGCCAAGCATATGGCCAGTGGTGGCAGACCTGAGAGCAGGGTTTCTGGAGCTCATTGAAGGGCATGGGCAGTTCAGTATGAGTGAAGGCAATCCTTCAGGCACTGGGCTGTTAGCAACCTTTAAAGGTCAATAACAGCACTAAAAATTGGGATCAAAAACAGGCAGCCAGTGCAGCTTATACAAAAATTGCCATCCTCTGTTCTGATCACTGAGCAGTGGCCAGCATCGTCATGAACACATTTAGCATCAGCTGCAGTTTCTGAAGCATCTTTAAAGGGAGACCCACTTACAAAACATTATAATAGTCATGTTTGGATATAACTAAGGCATGTGTAACCAAGGGTAGATTTGCTTTCTCTGGATATGGATGTAACTGGTAAATCAGTCAAAGCTGATAAAAGATTCTCACCTGCACACCCAAGGACAATGGCAGGTTTGAAAGCACCCCCAGATGGCACACTTGTTCTTTCAAAGCAAATACAACCCTAGCAAGAGCACACTGTCTCCCTATGTCCCCAAACAACAATTTGCACCCGATCCATACAGCACTGCTCTAAAACATCATGTGGAATTCAGTTAAGGCTGCTTTGCCAGCTTTGCTGTCAGCAAGAAGAGATTACCTTTCACTAGCCCGACAACTCCCTCTCATCTTTTCTCCCCTTTTCTTTTGTTTGCAAATGCATACAGGGCCTTAATCAACCTTCTATTAATTTATGCTCTGCAAATTAAGTGCCCTGCTACTGTTCAGCAAATGCACAGATAGCGACATTAAGGCCAAGTAGTCAGTTTGGCAAGTGGGTTGCGTCTAAGTGGCTATTTTTGTGGTTAGCGTTAACAGCAATTGGCGGGCTGTTGTAGACCTGCCTCCGTCTCGCACACACGTCCTTGTGTCAGAGTGATTAGTCACTAGTGACTGAGCAGATTTAATAAATGAATGTGAAATGTAATTTGCAGTCTTAAAGGGACTATGCCGTGTGGGCGGCTTTGCAATCTGGATCGTCCCCAGGCTCTCACGATCTTTTTTTGTTTCTATTCCCCGTTTTCCTGTAGGAGCCGGAGTATCTGTAGGGAACAGTGCCCAGGGTAGCCAGCCATGATCGCCACTGGAGGCCTCTTGAGGATCTCAGCCAGAAAACAGGATCCCCTGCGGCCTCAGAGCCAAGTCCCAAAGCGCAAGCGCAAAGCCAAAAAGAAACGCAAGAACGACGTGGTGGTGGTGAAGGGCAAGCTCAAGCTGTGCTCCCTCTCCGGCCTCATTGCTCTTTGTGGCATCCTGGTGCTTCTCGTGGGAATTGCCTTGGCGGTAGTAGGCTACTGGCCCAAGCCTCTTTACCGGGCAGGGAGCACTGGGGACAGCCAGTTTTTGCCAGCACATGGGACTGCCACCAAAAGCCGCTCCAGGAACCAGACGGAAGACCCGAGCGAATCTCACTCAGAAGGCTTGGGAGCCAACGCCTCCTTTGCGAGCAGCAAGAAGGGTGTCGCTCCTTCTCCACCTGCCCCCTCATCCTCCTCCACTTCCACAAGCTTCCTCTTCCAGCTTTTCTCGCGGTATTTGCATTCGGACAAGCTCAAGGTGCTCGGGCCTCTCATCATGGGCATTGGAATCTTCCTCTTTATCTGTGCCAATGCAGTGCTCCACGAGAACCGGGACAAAAAGACAAAGATAATCAACTTGAGGGACCTGTACTCCACTGTCATCGATGCACATAGCCTTCGGACCAAGGATGGGGCGCCCTCAGCTCCTGTCGCCCCAGTTCCTATCAACGGCTTCATCAACTACGTGCAACCTCGAGGGCTGGAGCTGAAACCCGGCAGTGGCCCTGCGGAAGCCCTGGGGGCTGCAGGTGTGCTAGCCAAGGGCAGCTGGCACCCACCCGTGGGTGCCCCTCTGTCTCCTCCAGACTTGGTTTCCTCGCCACGCTCCTCCTCTTTCTCTTCTAGGCAGCCGCAGCCACCCAGCTTGGCTGAGGCTGTGTACAGCATCTATCGGGAGAGAGCTGCCTTGGCCAGAACTGCTCGTAGCCCGCCTTGTAGCCCCCCAGATGGCTGGGACCAGCATAGCACAGCCAGTTCCATTGTGGGTTCCTCGCTCAGCACTTTCACTTTGCTGCCTCTGGCTCAGGGGGAGGTGGCGGAGGGAGAGCGTGGCGGCTGGCGGAGGCCGCTGGGGGAACGAGGGGCTAGGGAGATTCCACGGGGAGATGTGGAGCTCAGCCTGAAAGATCTCAGGAGCAGCTACCTAGACACGGGGCAAGGGTATACAATGCTGCCCAGGGCAGGCAAGCGCAAATTGGTCCTTAGACGCCAGAGCACAAGCTGCCTCCCTGATGCCCGGAGATCCTTCTCCCCAGAACCCTCTCAGACTCTGGACAGTAGCACAGACCTCGAGTCCAGTCTTTTAGTAAAAGCTTCATCTTCCAGCTACTCCAAATCCCTCGATCTGGGGGACTCTCCCCCTCCAACGCCACCTGTGGACAGGAGAGATTCTCAGAGCTCTCAGTGTGATCAACACAGAAGCAATAAGGGCTACACCCCATTGGAGGAGACAGGCACCTCCTTGGAATCTGTTGCCAACACCCCAGCCCATAAAACCCAGGACTGTGAAGCGATCCCCAGTGGGGAATCTGACCCCTCTGAGGGTCCCAGCAAAGAACAAACGGAGCAGCGGCCTTTGAAAGTGCAAAGACAGTACACAAATAAAGAGAAACTTTTCATGATCTCCAGATCAAATGCCATGGCCGGGCTGGAAGAAGGAGACCCGGAGAGCAGAGGCATGATTTAAATCAGAGCGAAATGAAATGGAGGCAAGCACCAGAACAATTTGTGATCCTTCTGCCCCCTTGTGGATCTAGGAACTGGTCAACATCCAAAGAGCTTGAGGAATGTTCTTGTGGAATGGCATCAATAAATTCCTGTAGATGTATTCAGGAAAGAAAGGAAGAAAAACACCACCACCATCTAACAGGAGTTTGTTCTGTTTAATTGTGCAACTATATTCCATTGCAAGCCAAATTGTATTGCACATTGACAGCTGAGTAAATTCTTTGGATCAAAGGAATAGAACATTACAATAATTGTGGCACTTTACTGATTTTTTTAAAATTCCAGTTGCGCCCTTTCATTCTCTCTTCATCTCTCTTGGCTTTTGCCATGGCACTTAACTGCACACTCTTGTCCTAGCTTCTGATAGAGGTGACTTTCAAGTCAGAATCCGTCTCTTTTCCTTCCTTTTAATGTTTGGTTAGAATGACGAAGTACTATGGCAAAGGTGGGAGGTGGGAAACAGCTTTAATTTTTGTAAAAGTGTTGGCTGAGGAAAGATTGGAGATGCCCTATGGCCAGCAAGCTGCAATTCTACATTCCTAAATTCAAGTAATATTACTTTATGAAGTATTATTGCACATGTATGAATCAATAGCATTAATAAGCATTTTTAATTTAAATAAAATATATTTACAATGAGAAAGTAGATTTAGCTAATGTTTCATTTCTGACTAAATTCTTATTAATGAACTAAGCCTTGTTTTCAGTGTAGGACTTTGAATTATTATTTTTAAAGACAAAAAGGCAGGGGAATAGGTAGGGGTGTGGGTGGGTGAGTGTTGAATTAAGGAGAACAATGGTAAAAACTTTCTTAAACGAAGCAGAAAAAATGTGGTTGAGTTAACTAATTTAAAACTTAAAAGTCTTCTGCAGGTGGATAGAGCATCAAGGCAAAATAAAGCACTTAAATTCCATTGTTTTCAAGGAAAGAGACAGTGAACCATGTGTATAACACTTCTGAAATAAATTAAGTTACAACACAATTCCATCTATGGTGATTCAGGAGGAAGCACCAAACTAGACATGATGTTAATTGCATGCGTGTAATGAATGCACTTAAAAATAAACAAACAGAAGCCACACACACCCTCCCTGGTGCATGGGTTGTTCAGTGGCTGGGGAGAGGTTAACCCTTCCCTTCCTGTCACCCTAAAATCCTCCTCAGTTGCATCAAGACAGTGTCTTCACCCACTGTGGACCTGATGCATATCAGTTTTATCCCCAGCTGCTGTTTACACTATTATTGTTATTGTTATTATTTTATGCACTTTGACTGCATTCACACAATTAACATCAAATCTAGTCTGGCCTTTAGTTGCATTGTGTTGGGTAGGCCTTACTCCTAGGACAGTGTGCGTAGGATTACAAAAGTTAAAAATGCCTAACTTTAATAAATATTTGCGCTTAGGATTGTAGCCTTGTATCCTGGTACTAGGTGCACAATTTGGAAATATCCTACTGAAATGAAAGAGATTGAAGTCTAAATAATTTGTGAGGGACAGGGTAAGATTGCCAGGTTAACTTTTAACATGTTTTAGCAATTATGAGATGCTTTTAGTATCAGTTTCATCTCACATGCATTTACAAAGACAAAGTAGAACACCTGAGAAGTTGTCCTAACAAGCATTCTGATGCAGCCGGTACCAGCTGGCCTGTGTCTCAAGAAATATTAGCAAAGTGACACCAAAGAAGGTAAAGTGATACTAACAAGGTAAAATGCCAGTGTTTTGGATATGGTACTTAGCCCTGATTTCCGTAGGTATATCCACCCTCCTTTGACATTTATTCATTGGTGGCTGTTTCATGCATGCAAGACATTCCTTAATGTTGCAGTCACAAAGTGATGAATATACATGCATGAATTCAGCCTTAGGTGGGGTTTATTAGATGGTGCTGAGGCAGACAGGAGAGGATGGCACATCATGTGTACAACCAGAGAATAGCCCAAACCACAGTATTCATGAATTATGTATATCTGTGTTTTGAAGCTATGGATATGTACTTGGAAGTAGGTTCTATCAAAGTTAATGCATTCAGTATGCTTAGATAATGTGGTGCCAACCTATACCAGTCCATATCGAACTATACCTTGATTAAATCTGTCTATCTGGTGCCTATTTGATTATGGATTGGACAGTAAACTACATTTGAAGTTAGTATTCTGACATTTTAACTGGGATTTAAAACAGGGTAGGGCTTGGGTTTTCGTTTTGCCCGTTAACATAAATCGTATGAGCAATAATGTGCAAATAAAAAAAAAACTTTTTTGAAATTCTGGGGAGTGGAAATGCTAAATGTTAATTTGAGACGTCAATTATCAGTGTTGGTTCCCCCCCCCCCTTTCATTTTTTTAAAATCTGAAAGATCTGAGATTTAGGGCAGGCTTATGCCTTGAAACCACAGGGAACAATTATGAATGGGTTAGCTCCATAGGCAGCAGTAATATGTAAAACAGCTTGCTCTGATTATGGATAGATTTTCTGTGCCAGCCCCAAGAACAACCAAGAATATGCAGTTCTTGTGTTAACCAATAATATGTGGGTGATCAACATGATCCATTGCTTCCACATGCTGTGTTGGTCCCGCAGAGCTATATTTTTGCTGAAGCATTCCTAACAGCTTCCACATGGTGACTGTAACCTAAGAACTGCCCCTTGGTAATCAGATTCCATTACTATCAGTTCATTTCAAATAAATACTTAATCTCAGAAATTGTATGTTAAAGTTTCTTTTTGAGATGCTGCTCCAAGGAAAGCCCCTTTCCCAATGTAGACTGACCACTAAGTAAGCTGCTCATCTGCACATCAACACAGTTCTCAGTGAAATTTATTTCCATGTAAACAGCTTAGTTCCCCTACAAGTCAATGCCAATGGATAAACGCTCGTTGTTGCAGTGTGGCACAACACAGTGGTGTACTGTCATTGTGAGTCAACCAGTATCATCACAACAGGATGAGTAATTAGTAGGTGTGGTGCAATGTAGTTACAAAGTGGTATGAAATTAGAAAAATGTTACAGAATTAGTCAACACAGAGCCAACTATTTTGGCACAAGCTGATGATCTCATACTACCAGCCCATTCATATGGGATTGCACCCGAGAAGCATCAGGAATCTGCACTCAGCCAGGTTGTGGTTCTGGTCTAGATGCAGATATCCAGGAGCACCACAGCAGTACATACATTATACTCCAGTCTGTGAAGGCATCCATTTCCACCACCTGTACTACTGAACATCTGGTTTGTAGGAGAAAGGAGGGCTTCTTGAAGACTACTGCTTACCGGTACATCCAGGTCCGTAGCTCAGGATGAGAGTCAATTTGAATGAATTATGCATCTACTATGAAACTGTAAGCAATAATCACAAACAAACTGTATGTACACGGTAGTTTGAATTCTGATAAGGATTGCTTTTTTCTAATGGATCCATCCTTTCCCTCCATATATTGATAGCCTGTGTTTAGATGGATGAGTTAACAGCTTGCATTCTCCCTGCCAAACATCGGTAACATAAGAAGAGCCTAGCTGGATCAAGCCAAAGGCCCATCTATTCTCACAGTGGCCAACCTGATGACCATGGGGAAGCCTGCAAGCAGAGCATGAATAAAACAGCATTCTCCCCATTTGTGACTTTCAGCAACTGGTATTCAGAGTCATGCTGCCTCAAGCAGTTGGGATAGAACATAGGCATCCTGACTAGCACTCACTGATAGCCTTATCCCCTAGTGCTTCATTAATGGCACTCTTAAGCACATTTCTCTGAGATGCCTCCACTGAGATTGCCCTGCTGCTGCAGCTTCCATAATCTGAGTGGGCAAGAGGATGGCACGGACGAAAATGGCATCAGCAAACTATGAGCCCGGCCCAAGGGCTCGGCTGTTCAGTTATTTCAGGGGCAAATCTCTGCAAGAAGGTTTAGAACTATAAAAATAAGCAAGACAAAAGGATGATTGGAGCATTAGATTGCAATCCTATAGAAATTTAGGTGGGATTCAATCCCAAGGAACACAATGGGACTATTATGCACTGATAGTCTTCCTCTTATACGGTTTTTCAATTCAGGCATCTGTACAATTTTAACATATCCCTTGGGTGTTAGTTCTTGCTTTGTTAATGCTTTAGGAGAGACTAAAAAGCATGGGATGCTCTAGAGAACCACCATATCATCATCTTCTGGGTCTTACTAATTCATCTTATCATGTAGCCAGCAATCACCACAGTGCTGACATCCCTTGGGACCCTGCAACAGCCATTCCTGTCGTGTGTATTCATCATACAGTTTCATTTTGCTGTCCATTTCTCTGAGCAGAGCCTAGTCCCAAAGACAACCTGTGTCTTATTAGTGAAGAGAAATTGAGACTCATGCTGTCCTCTGTAATCACAACTGTTTGTTTACAGTTTCCAGGACCAACCCAATAAATTTTGCTGCCTGAGGTTAAGGACAAGATGGCAACCTTCCCACCAGTCTACAAAAGTCAACCAGACTGGCAACTGAGTATCTTGCATTCAACATTAGTGACAGGACAATATCCTCTACCACACATGAGGGAAGCAGGCTAATTTACAGAGGCATAGTAGTCTTCATAGTACACACAGCGCTATCCTCCAACACCTTGCCACATTCCCACCCCCCAGTGTTCACTGCCTAAGGCGACTGCTTTACTCTTCCTAGTGACAGAACTGGCCCAGTCGTTTTTGCAGGTTGGGCAAAGGGGCAGGTACCAAGCAAGCACATTGTACTAGCCCTAGAACAGCATCAGTTGCTAAAAAGCAAGACCATGCTCTCACCCGAGACTCCTTGCCAGTCAGAAGGGAAAACTCAAAATATGTTTCTTTGGCCAGATTTGGGGGAAGGGGGCGAAGTGCAGGGGGATATCTCTGAAAAACACAACAAAACACCCACTCCTCCAACTCCCTCACATCTGATGAAGTTCAAAGAGGCAAAAGGGAAGACAAGGAAGACAAACCCTCAGTCAACAGCAGCTAATTAGTGACAAAGTAAAATTCTTCCGAAGTCCTGCAAAGCAGTAGCAACTAGCAATGGCTCAGTAAGTCAAGTGTTAAGGGTGAGAGAAAAAGCAAAGACAGGGGCCATTTGCCAATAGCTCCAGGAGAAGCAGCCGAACAAAATAAAAATGACATCATTCAAAACTGGCATCAGTAATACAGTGGTACCTCGGGTTACGAACTTAATTCATTCCGGAGCTCCGTTCTTAACCCGAAACCATTCTTAACTTGAGAAGCGCTTTCGCTAATGGGGCCTCCCACTCCCACCGTACCACCAGCGCGCATTTCTGTTCTCATTCTGGGGCAAAGTTCTCAACCCAAAGTACTACTTCAGGGTTAGTGGAGTTTGTAACCGAAGTGTTTGTAACCTGAAGTGTTTGTAACCTGAGGTACCCCTGTAGTGGCTTCTTTTGCCCACCCCACCACTAGCCTCATCAGTTCTTCCCTCAACGAACCCTTACTTCTGCAGATACAGTTTAGTGTTCGGGAGGAAACAAATTGATAGTTCTGAGTAAACTGTCTTTCCCCCCTCCTTCTACGCTCCCTTTTAGGCATAACACAGGTCACAAATGCTGGCAAATGAGAGTGACTCATATTCTTCAAAAACCTCTACCTTATGTTAATTCATTATCTGTCCCTGGACACTAAACAGGACAAAATGACTCAGTATAGTGACAGACAGACAGACAGACAGACAGACAGACAATAGCAAGGAAGTGAGGCTGAGGCATTTATATCTTAAAGACAGATTATGCTACAGCTTTATCCCTGAAACGAAAAAGATGTTTTATTTTAAGAGACAAAATTAGAGTTCATATTCATTAGAATAAGAACCAACATCTTTAGGACAGTTGAATTTTCAGACTTCCACAGGCAATTTGCTCTGGAGGGACTTTTCTTTTATGCACCTGCTCTCTGCATGTCGACATCGCCCTGATGGGCCTACGGGGTGCTGGTGGGCAGATGGTTCTGTGCTGCAGCAGGAAGCAATAGGCTGTAATGGCCATCTGGTCCCTTCCAGTTCTACTCGCCATGCCATGAAATAAATTGCTCAAGGATCAAAGCTTGATGACCCAAAACTGAGAACGGCAGTGCAAACACATTGATGTGGCAAATACTGCAGCAGCAGCATGGCCAGGGCAACAAGCCAGCACCAAAGTTCAGGAAGGGAGCGTAAATATTTATGGTGGTACCAATATATTTTTCTTCACAAGTGGCTAGATGAAAAGTTATGGCTTAGTGTTGTGGAGGAAATGTGCCGTAGTTTATTCCAGTAATGTGCCATTTAATAACCCCTTGCTAAACTAACTTACCAACATGATCTTCAGATAGCTGGGCTGCTCTCCCCTGCTCTTAATCCCAACCTCGGCATATCAACCACAATATCCAGTTATTTTTTAGCTTCTCATTACAGCATGGAACCTTGCAACTGGAGCATGTGAATACAGAGAGAGAAAGTCACCTTGCAGTGACTCTTTCACTACACAATTTATTATGTAAATTGGCCTACAGTGAATGCAATTCAAAAGGCTAATTCAATGACCCAACTCAAATTTTATGTTGATGAAAGAGCACATGTCTCAGGCCACGTCTCCTTGCAGCTGTAATGTACAAGCCCTCTGTCAGGGCTCCTTGCACATTTGATTCACAATAGGAATTGGGGGTGTGGGTGGGGGCGTTGTGTAATTAAATCCAACTTATATGCCTGAGAACATTTCCTGATTTATTAGCAATGCTGTTAGTTTTGGCTGAGAAAGATGTGTAAGGAGACTGGAGAGCTATTTAAAGCAAAAGAAGAATCTTTTCTGAGCATTTCACTAACAACATGATAGATATATTCCATATTGCTGACTTTTATTTTAATCACCTGCCAGAATGCAACAGCGTGTTGAAGGATGATGCGTCAGAAAGAGACTGTGATTCCAAAGCACTATTAGAAATCCCTGAAGTCCACAAAGAACACAAGCAATGGAGTGAAGAAATATTTAAGCTGGCAGCAAAAGTCCATTTTTACAACTCATTTATTCATAGAAATATCTCCCTCTAGTTTGCTATGTTTATTACACAATATAAACACAAACTGAGAAAGGTAGAAGTAGATTTGGCAAGTCTGAGCTGAAGAACTGTGGGGTCTGATCATCTGTTTGTTCAACTCTGCTTCAAAATGTCACACATTTTCTACATGAAGCTCTCAGTCTTGTAGAATTGACCATATAAAGTATATGTGATGATGGCACATATATCACTTCTGTTATTCCATTTTGTACATCAACAGCCTTTCCATTAAGGAATATGATAAAGTGCAGCGATCAGCCATCCATAGTTTTCATGCTATTTCTCATGTGCTTGACCACACTTCATATTTAGTTGGGGTGATCTGGAGTTGTCTCATCCTGATCCAGCAGAAGCCAAAATCAGCGCAAATTTGGTCAACTAAGTTCTTATCCATGCTTAACTTTTGCCCTACTCTTTCCATGCTGGGGTCTGGACATTAACACTCTGTATGCAATGTGGATTTTTTATTTTGTTGTGTTTTGACCTGATCTTTCCAGGCAAAAACTCACTCTTTGAAGCTGAATTGGAGCAAACATCAATTTGGGTTTTCTGCAGATTGTTTTTTTCTCCAACTGAGCTTTAAAGAGTGGGTTTTCACTGTGAAAGCATAGGAGCATGAAAAAAAGGGTGCTCGGACATGGAGCTTTAAATTGTGTTTCGAGGACCCGATCCCTGCTTTGTGGAATGAAGACACACAGACACAGAGTATAAGGTTAATGGGTAAGAAAAGACCACAACTTTATTGATTACAGCAAGTGAGAAGGTATTGGCTTAGGCATTGGACCACGACAGATTGACTCCACCCACTCGGAGAGGGGTGAGCCCAAAGGGGATTTATTCACCAGAAGGTGGAGCCTGTTGATGCTAATACAACTATAAGCTCTCCCCTGATGTCACCGAGGGTCGTGCCATGGCCTCCCGCCAAGCAGGCATCGGACAGGATCCACGACCGCCGGATTCCTTTAACAGAATACCCAAAATTGAAGGCGCAGGCGATGGCCACACCTAGCCCTTCCACACACCATCAACACATTCCAATGCCTAACCGCCACCCGAGCCCAAGAGGCTCACCACCAATACCCTCACAGCTGTAACCAATCCCTAATACTGTTGATGATGCTACCTAACCAAATATTGTTCCCCCGATCTGAAAGATGAACCCCATCATCCCAGAACAAGGCCTGATCGCCTATCCGGATACCATCATGAGAAATAAATGAGGCGGAATGGCTGGCACAGCAGTAAGTTAAACTGCAAACCACGCCCCCTCCAAGCCGCCCGGTTGGACGCTTACCTGTGGGCGTGGTGCGCCAGCCGGATGAGTGGGGCAGGGGATGCAATAAAACAATAAATTATTATTATTATTATTAACACAGTGAGTTTTTACCGTGCAAACTGCAAGTTGAATGGTGAAATGTAAGTTTTTTGTTTCACACAACAAAAAAGGCATAGCAAATATATAGGGACCTTAAAATTAACACATTGTGCAAATTTCACATGAGAAAATCCTATTGAAGATTGTAAACGGGTGCATGTTTAGAATGTATTTGCTATGCTCCACTGCCATCTGTCTATAGAAAGTTAATTAATGAGCTTTAATAAAATAATGGCTGCTTGGGAAAATGCTTGTTAATAGGTCACATCATCGAGTCACATTCATAATAAGAGGTGTAATTAAACAGCTGAAGAGTCATTAAAGATTTTGCGTCTCAATGGTTGTTCTGTTTTTCTGGGGAAACACTTTCTCTGGGAAAATTACTTTGTATTGCCTTTCAACGCTAGTTAAAATGCAATACAAAGTAGCATACAAAAGTAACATGCAAAGTAACAATACAAAAGCAAATGTGTTTTCCTCCTCCTCATAGTTCCTGAAAAGAGTCACTCACACATAGCACAATCTGGACCAAATCCAGAATGGGGATTCCTAACACACGAACCAAACAGATTTACAACAGCCAGCTGCAGTGGAATTGAGCTCTTTTGCTAATGGTGACCCACTTAACAAAGTATGTCTGATATGAAGCTTCAAAATTTTAAAAAAAAGTCTGTCCCCACCCCCTGATCCTATCACTGCATTTTGGGACCTTTCATAAGTCTACCTTCTCCACATTAAGCAGATTGTGACATCACAGCTCACAGTTATTTGGCCTGATCCAGCATGGGTAGCGCATGCTTTAAAAAGGGTTCCCATATCTCAGTTAGGGGTGTGTGGGTGTGTACTTTCTGTAGGCGACTTGCTGCATCTACACAGTGGTGGTGCTGGGGTAGCCTATATGGCCTTCCAGCTGTTGCTGGATGGGAACTCCCAGTATCCCTGACCATTGGTCATGTTAGCTGGAGCTGATGGGAGCAGAGGTCCAACAACAATGGGTGTGGATGGGTGTGCACAGACCAGGTGCCCATGATCTAGCACATGGAGTTCCATGGGGATCCCAGAACTGCAGTGAAATAGCAACAGCAGGCAAACCACCTGTGCTGCCACTTGTGATGATCAGTTGGGAGAATCCGAACAAGGGGTTCAAGGTCTGGGCAAGCAGCTGATCACTGTCAAGACTGACTGACTCATCTACTTTAATTTATTATTCTTATTACTATTAGGCTGTTAAGTGCAGTACTCCTTGCTCCAGACTGTAACAGGGTGGTGGTGAAAGCACCCCTATTTTTTCTAGTTCTGGATGCTCTATCCCCCCCCCCCGCCGTATTTTATTTTATTGTCTGTTCAGGATTCTCGCCCTAAGCAATTGTGAGAACACCCTTTAATCCTCTAGCTCAGGAGAGACACTTCCTTTTGTCTCTCCCACCTTGTGATTTTTCTGTCTTATATTATTCTATCTGCTGATTGATTAATGGCCTTCTATTGTACTCTTCTATTATATTTTGTTTTAATATGCTATTTGCCACATTAAGGGGTTTTTGGACTGAAAAGCCACATATAACAGCAACAACATCTATTTGGTGGAGAGCTGCACACAGACACACTTGCACAGCAGAACTCATTATTGTGTGCTCATATCTTTGGACAGAAGGAACTCGATTCTTGGGAGAAGACAACACCATATTAGAAACCTAGTTTTTGAAAAGCTTAGTGAAGACAATGTTTGTTATTGTTTCTAATGCATCTTTTAAATTTTTAACTCCATGAGTTTGATATCTAGAAAAGTAGCCCGTGTCAATAATTTGGGAGTAAAATTCCATTAAAACCACAGGCTGTTATTCTGGAGCAGGGGTGAGAGGACCTGTCACCCTCCAGACTCCATCTATCATCAGCTCCAGAATAATGGGAGTTGGAGGGCAATGAGTTTCATCAGCTGTACTCCAGAGCAATAGATGGTTCCTTCAAAGTTTATGTAGGATTCTTCAAGTAACAAAGGAAACACTTTGCTACCCATCTTCCCCTACAATGCATAGCCCAAGGAGCAAACTTGCTATTTTTACATAATGGATTTTCAGTTCAGATGAGGCAATGAGGATGACCAGGAAGCGAGGCTTGCGCACCCTGGCAATGCTCCAGAATCTTCTGCCGCACACAGCAGACATGAATGTTCTGTGACAGACAACAGATAAAGTGCTCCTTGAAACAAAGTCTGGAAGCCGCTGGCCTATAATGTAGGCCTATTCCTGACCGTTGACATGGCCCTAAAAAAAACCATCCTAAAAATCTGGAAATAAGCATCCAAACTCCCAGCATTTGCCATTCATAATGATAGAAGCAAAACTGCTATTGAAAGGTATTCCTTGCAATGGGTACTGTGTATTTCCACGTTGGTGGGACTTAAAGTAAAAGGTCCTTCGGCCTGTCAAATAAATTGTAAATCTCTTTCATTTTTTTTTACTCTGTTTTGCTAGACATTTTCAATTTGTGCCATCTGCTGGTCAAACTATATCACTACAGTTGGCAAAGGCGTTTCAGTTAGAACGCTCCCCCGCCCCGTGACTTAATTTTGCCAAATCACATCACTGGAATTGCTTGTATATCATCATGACTTGACACAGAGCTATTGCAAATTATAGCAATACCACATATCTCACTAACAATGAAATGAATACACTTTTAGATCATAGAGGTTACAGAAATGAAGAAAGCAACCATAGTTTTCCTTCCTAAAGGCTGCTTCAGTAAAGCTCATACCTAATGTCTAGTATTATCAACTTGCTACTCCTGTTTTAGACTTAGCCTTTATAACCCTGCTTTAATACCACACTGACACTTTTACATCAAGAATATCCTTCTTCAGTCTAAAAACCAGATCGTCCCAACAGTGAATGATTTTGGGTTTTTTTTTAAAGCAAATGCCCATTAATTCAACCTCAAAATAAAGTCAAGGAACAATGGCGCTTTAGCAAAATGCTTTAAACAAAAGATGACGAGTTTTCAAATGTTTATTCCCCCAAGTGGATAAGCACTAAATATCATGTGCATAGTACTCATGTGTTTAGACCAGCAGTGGTGAACTCCCATCAGTGCCATCTGGAATGGCCAAACCACCAGATATTATGTGAGCTGGACTTGAGCACCAGTATCAGGAGAATCACATGTTTCCAACCCTGGTTTACTCTCTGAATATCCTTTCCTATTTTCTCCTTAAGCAAAGCAAAGAGCTGATCATCCCCTAACTTTTGCGGTTTTTCCCAGCTGCAATTCTGCACAGCCCACAATGTTTTTCCATTGATTGACATCAGCAGTGGCAGTTTGCATCTGCTTCTGGCTGAGGAACTCTTTGTACCTTGATGCATTAATGGCTTGTGGCTGAGGAGCCTTTTTGCTTGCCACAACTTTTCATAAGTCATCATCTGTCATCTTTGTGTGTTGTCCCCCCACCCCACCCCGTTCCTAATCCTTAGCCTTTAATGCTGGCAATAATTCAGGTACTGACTTAGAACAGAGCTCTCTGTCTGCAGAGAAAGTTTGACGCTTGGCTCTCGTTTTGGTGTCTATTTTAGTCATACCATTTTCTTCACTTGTGGATGCATCTCCATCAAGATTTCCTGCTACTTTGTAATCCCTCTGAACAGCAAGATAATCGTCTCTGGGCTTTTTTCTTGTATTGTCACACATGCTGCCTTTTAAATGGACACCAAGAATATTCTGTTTTGGAGCATCACCCGGCTGCTCTTTGTTCTTATGGTCTTCTGGAATTGTTGGGCATGCATTGATGGAAGATGCACAGTGGTAATAACCAGAAATCTGCTTCTTTTCATGCATAGCGCAGAGATCAATTTGCCTTAAGATCTCTGTGCCGAAAGGACTGTCTTCATACTTTCTATAGAGATCTTCCTGAATTTTTGTAAAGCCCTAAAACATTGGAAAATACATTGTGTATTACACACTGTGTTTTTGAAACCTTTTTTTTTTAAGAAACAGATTTTGGTTTTTTTAATCAGCTGCCCAAAGACTACAATGCTTTAAATGTGGTGTTTGATCATTCTTATAGTGCAAATAAGTAGCTAACAGAATCTCAATATTTTTGCTATCAATATTTTTTACTTTGTGTGTTGTGTCATTTCACTTTCCAGGAACGACTTGCTTTTTCTGTCCAGACATTTGATACTGTGGGCATGAAAAGGATGATTTGATAACATTTATACAGTGGTACCTCGGGTTAAGTACTTAATTCGTTCCGGAGGTCCGTTCTTAACCTGAAACTGTTCTTAACCTGAAGCACCACTTTAGCTAATGGGGCCTCTTGCTGCTGCCGTGCCGCCGGAGCACAATTTCTGTTCTCATCCTGAAGCAAAGTTCTTAACCTGAAGCACTATTTCTGGGTTAGCGGAGTCTGTAACCTGAAGCGTATGTAACCTGAAGCGTATGTAACCCGAGGTACCACTGTACTGCTTTTGTATGCAATGCCTTTGAGTAAGAATACACACACACACACACACACACACACACACACACACAGTCATTGTTTGGACCCTAGTTTTACTAGCTACAGCTTGGTAGAACCCCAACACCTTATGACTTTCCTAAAATCAACAAACTAGATTTGAGATTGAAAAATCAACAGGTACGTACATAACTGTCATCCAAGGAAAATCCACAACTTATTTTATCTTTCTCAGGTGCAAAACCCTCAATGCATGATACTACCTCTATAAACTTTTTAGCAATTTTGTTTAACTATGTTGCAAAACTTTTCAACAATAATCTTGGATCACTTTCAGCAGGATCTTTTTTCCTCATAGCTCCCCCCACCCCCACCCACCAATTGTTCAGTTTCATTTGTTTCACAACTGCATTCTTCCACATTAAATAACACTATCCTATCTTGCTGTTTGCACTATGCAATGGTCCTCTTTATTCAGGAAGAAAATATATTAAAGTAAACCAATGACTCGGGAGTGTACTGTAGAAGGTGCCTCATTCTGTGGAGTACGGAAGGGGGGGGGAGAGAAGAAACAAGTGCTGAGAGTTACATCTTTTGGATGACTGATTAACACCAAGAGTAAATTTGGAAGATGGATATTACAGCAGCCACAATGTGCAAAATGAAATGTCAAAGTAAAACACCTCTTAATAAATATCCTCTTCTGCCACATATTAATGCAAAAAACACTCTCATTGAGTCACTGTAGTCTAGACTTCCTGTTCAGTGATCTTTGTCATTTTCTAATTGTAAAAGCATAATAACTTCTCACCTCTCACGCTTCTGTTCTCTAGTCAAGTTCTTTAATTATGGGCTCAAATACAACAAGGTCTAGAGAACTTCATATGATATGAGTATGGTAATTGTACTTTGAATTCGCAAAAGCTTCCAACCCATCCTGCAACAAGGATGAGACGACACACACTGAATGCCAACCAGGGTTATGGATTCCTTCACTCTAGCATAAATACATGTCCCTGCAACAAACTTCCCATGAAAATATTTCAACTGCTACTACAGCTGTACAGGGAGATATAGAATTTGGAGAGAGAAAGGGGCAGGCACATCTGTAAAAAGTTTTACAAGTAATAAAATGTAATACAAACAAGATTCAGCCCCATAATAACTTCATGGCAATGAACGTTGAGTGACAGAAAAGGGAGACTCCTTCGGGTAGTGATAAAGCAGGATATCAAATCCAAACTCCTCCTCCTCATTCTTCTTCTAATTTCAGCAGTTTTCATATAGCACTAAAAACCCAAATTTGGAATAAGCAGCAACCCTATCACTTTGTTAGATAAAGCTACGTGATGCAGCTTATTCCATTTATTTAGTGTGTACATTGCTAAAAGGGGTGTGAGAGAGACAGAAAACGGCAAATTATTAAGCATAATTGGCACATATGCTAAAAAGATTCAGTCAAGCCACTAGTGCACAATTGCTCATTGGGTCTAAATAAGGCATTGATATCACACTTGGCCTGCCTTCTATAATCTTTAATTACATGATCACATTTTTACAGAGCTCGCAGTTAATGCTTGCAGAAGTGCATAATTTAGAGGGGATCAAATGTTAATCTTTTTTTAGATGACAAATGAGTTCTTAATCTTTTTTAGGTGAGAATTTAGTCCTTTAACTGTTATACTTCTTGATTACTCTTACCACGGAATACCAGCCAGATGGGCGGGGTATAAATTATTATTATTATTATTATTATTATTATTATTATTATTATTGGTATTATTAGTATTATTTGTGTTTCTTTTTCAAAGGGAGAAGATCCTAGAGCTATGTCCAGCAGATGTGATGGGACGTCTTCCTCTTCCTCCCCCCTCTCCCCCCGCAGGCTCTCATGTGCCCCTCAAGTCTGCTCCAAGGAGTCTTCCTCTGAACCCACCAGGAGAAGATTTTGGGGGGTGGGGTGGGGGTTATGCAGGGATGCAGATAAGAAGGGAAAATATTATGCAACTAAACTGACATTAGGTTCAGATATCATTATACCATTAGATCCTGATACCATTAGATTGTAAGAAAAACACTGGGGCCTAATTTGAATAGTAGAGTGCTTGGCATTTGGTGGGCGGGGCTTGTGTGTTTTGCTCCGGAATCAGCCCCTCCCTTCAGTGTGTGTTCAGTTTAGACTGTCAGTTAAGAGGGACCAACTGCCTCTTCTTGTTTCTTGCCTCAGACTTGTCTCAGGGTGTTGTTTTAGTTTCTCTCAGACATCATGTTATTTTGCTACAGATTTCTCTCAGTTTATTATTAAAACTTGTTCATGTTTATGTGAACCACTTACTTTTCTCAAAGAAAAAGAAAATCTGCTGAAGAATGGTGGAATATCCTAAACTTGGCTGAATGAGGGGATATTCCCAGTTTGCTAGGAGGACTGATTTTGTTAATCATGCCACAACACAGATATCACCCCTAGACATCCAACGTTTCTGTATAATTGCTGAATTTAAACAAGTAAGGCTCAGAAATAACCAGGGAAAATGTAATGTACAACCTGGTGGGAAAGTACAGCCAGCAGATGGCATCAGAATAGCTACTACAATGCTGTGTCTGTAGAGTCATCTGCATATCCCTTCTTCCCTTTTATTATCTCATATTCAGCTTCTTTGCAAAGCAACCAAAATATTTCATTCTCGTACCCCTTTCCTGTGCATTTTTCATCCATCAAAACAGGGAATTTACTTCAAAATGATGCTTGATGCAGCACCCCAGCATATCTGGCCAAACTGATCCAGGCTCCAGCTCAAGACATCCTCTAGCACATCTACCACCTAACTTCAAACATTTTGGCCGAGCCTGACCTAGAATGAACTGGATCAATATTGTGCTGCAAAAGTCTGCAGGAAGAAAGTCTCTCTCAACCCTGGTGAGCATAGGTCTCCTAAGGACAGTGCTTTTCTTCTGGGGGGACGCAGGCGTACGCATACCCCTAAACATTTTGTGAATCTTTGTACTTATGTCCATTTACTGTATTTAGTTTTCCCAATTTGCAGTATAAAATGGTGATTTTCTTGAATCGAAATGAGAGTACCCCTAAACAATTTTTGGGGGGGAAAAGCACTGCTTAAGAATGTAGGTTAAGTAGTACTTCAACTGATATAACAAAGTTGCTTTGACAATGTGGCCAGTGCTGGTGTGGCTATTTTGCAGCCTAGGCCAGGCTAACTTCTTGTACGCATGCCCCAAATTGTTAGCTTCTATTTTCAAAAGCAGATGTCTTGTAGAAAAAATGAAAAACACAAAACTATATAACCAGAACTAATCCTTATAAAATTGTGCCCCTCAAAGGTCAGTACTGCACCCCTTTGAGGTCTGCACCCTAGACGGCTGCCTCATCGGTCTAATGATAGCACCAACCCTGAATGTAGCTCCAAAACTTGCAACTATTTTTAAAAAGAGAGAGAGAGAGCTCATTTCTATGTAAGAAAATGTACAGGAAAAACACAGATCATTAGGATTTTCTTTTTCTTTCCCGAGTAAACATGCAATACACCTGTGCAAGGACTGTGGACAAATGCACTTCCCAGCATTTTTGTATGTAGCAGAAAGAAGTGCAAAAATTGACACATGGTTCTAACTCATTTTTTCACATCAAAAATTACAACATCTAAGGTGGCCATTATCACTTCTTAATGTTGTGTCTATTAAGCTCAGCAGGACTCCTCGTGAATAAAGGCAGGATAAGGGAATCAAGGGCAGACAAACAAAGACATGTGTTTCATTATATTAGATAAGAGTCCTGAATCAGAATCTGAACAATTCCAATTCCATAGAGAGCTGAGATTTATGTGATGGGGTTGCTCAGCACTTAGAATGACATATTTATGTCCTTTTTTTCAAAGCACAAAACACTCTGAGCTTCTCATTTGATTGAGGAAGTGGCGTAGGAAAGAGGGTCCAGCTATTTCCCCCCACATGGTTTATTTAAATAGCTCACGCTCCAAAGCTGTTGTTTGCAACCGTGTTTTCTCCCCCCTGGGCAAATAGCAGCTTTGGGGAAGAGGATTTAGACTGGGAAACCTGCACAGGAGGAATGACTTGCTTGCACTGCCCCCATAAACACTTCTGTAGCAAGGTTCATGCTAACTTCATTCCACCCCCCCCTCATGTGGCTGAGGTGGAGACAGGCCCATTTGTATAGGGTGTGTGTGTGCAACCCTAAGACAAAGACTGTGACATGTTTGTTCTATCCCAGAGAAACGGAACTAAGATCTCAAACACACACACTGAGGCAAAGTATAGGAATGAGGGATGGATCCCAGCATAGTGCAAGCAAATGGCTTATGCAACTGACTTGATGCGAGGGTGCTGCGATAGCCCCCAGTGCTACTATATGAATACTAGGAGGGGAATCCAAGGAAATTATCTTCATCAAAGGGGGAGGAAGGAAGCCAGGCATGGCCCACCCTGAGATCTAGAGTGGATGAGGTTTGAGAGGCTGCCAGGGCGGTGGATTAACATTTGGCCCAGCCTCTGCTTGATCACAACATTGAGGGAACAGGTTGGGAAAAGAATAAGGCATCATTAAATGTCCTAGAGAATGGGACGCAGGTGGCGCTGTGGGTTAAACCACAGAGCCTAGAACTTGCTGATCAGAAGGTAAGTGGTTCGAATCGCCACAACGGGGTGAGCTCCCGTTGCTTGGTCCTAGCTCCTGCCAACCTAGCAGTTCGAAAGCACATCAAAGTGCAAGTAGATAAATAGGTACCACTCCGGTGGGAAGGCAAAGGGCGTTTCCGTATGCTGCTCTGGTTCGCCAGAAGCGGCTTAGTCATGCTGGCCACATGATCCAGAAGCTGTACGCCGGCTCCCTCGGCCAATAAAGCGAGATGAGCGATGCAACCCAGAGTCGGTCACAACTGGACCTAATGGTCGGGGTCCCTTTACCTTTACCTTTAAAGGTCTTAGAAATAAGGTCTACCTTTTACAGGAGAGTGTTTTGTTCAGAAACACATTTTTGCAGAGTCATTCTTCCAATGAAGGAACACTTTGTATCGTTTGCATTTATTATCTTCCCATCAGCCTTGCTACTGAGTGCATTTCAGCTGTGTGCCCAACATTATCTACTTAATGGAGATTTACAAGACAAAACAAAACAAAATACACCATTAGCTCAACATCACTCATTCCTATCCTCCTGCATTTCTCCCTAGACAACAGAAATATTGTCACCCTCAGCCTTAGAGTAAATATCTTTATAAATAAGCTCTGCTATTTCCAAGCTGAATGAGAGACATCAAATATCTGAAGAAATACTTCATACCTGACTGGCAGAAGCTCATGGTCAGGGAACGCTTTCTTCCACTATTAAAGCATTCGCTTCACGTCCTGAGAGTGTATCATTATTGTTTCCTTCTGCTTATTATATTGACCTCATAAAAACACACAGCTATTCCAGGAAACAAGGAAGACAGCATTTGAGCAGGGAAAACTTAATCTAATGAGAGCCACGTTTTTACTTTAATTGTAAAGCAATAAAACCCAACCAAATCCTATATCCTGCTGCAGTTAAAGGTTAGATCAGCATATCATGTATTTATACTGCAAAGTCCCAGAAGCCTTGAATGCTACCTGACATAAATCCTGCAGTCAGCTGAACATTCCCCAGAACTTCTTTTGCTCCTTTGGTGGAAACAGCTCAGGGCTGCATTTCCGTGCCACTGATATAAGCAAAGGCAGTAAAAGCAAAACTGCAGTTTTGAATCTCAAATCATTTTATTCTCAAGTAATCCTACTGATTTACTGTGGAGTAAATGGTTTGCAGGCTGCAGTTTATACATACATGAAACGCTTACCCTGCGGCCTATATAAAGTTCTTTCATTGACTAGAGATAATACCCTATTTCTCACTCTCACTCCACTTTGCCTGAGAAGCAGGTGGGGACGTGGAAGATTCATTTCCTGCTGGGGTCTTTCCATGCTAGGAGTTTACACCCTGCATTTGCGATTCTGTGTTCACACTGCATGATTATGTCTGCATCAAATTGTTGTTCTGCGGTGTCAGTAGGCACAAATTGTCTCAGCACCACTTCTTCTATCTTTTTTCAAAGAGACATGGTTTTGACATGGTAGTGACATTCCGAGCAGCCTAACTCTTCACCTTGGTTTGATTTAGATTTATTGTATGTCTACGCCACTTTTCATTCAAATGAATCTCAAAGTGGCTTAAAAATTTCCACACACTGTGGCTATTACTTTATAGTTAGTGCCACATTAGCAGCATGGATGTTCAAATTTTATATATATATATAAAAGGGTTAACACACCTTTTGTTTATTTTTACTTTTAAATGCGGACATTGATGTAGTAGCAATTACATGAAGAAGTGCTTTTGTGCAAGTCAAAAATATTGATTTTTAAAATGGCATGCTCAGTTGGTGTTATATATGTTAGAAGTGCAACATCTGGGATCATTGTAGCTCAAGAGATACCTCTGCTAGTGTTAAATTCAATCAGCCAAGAGGGAATGTGTGGAGGTGTTGGTTATCTAGCAGGCAGAGTAGCATGATGTTTGCTGAGGTAGCAGATGCCCTCAGTGTCTGAGTTGAACGATGGGGGTGGAGACACTCCTTCAGGTATACTGGGCCAAGGCCATTTCGGGCTTTCAAGGTCAGCATCAACACTTTGAATTGTACTCGGAAATGTACTGGGAGCCAATGTAGATCTTTCAAGGCCTCTACCTGGACAGGAATAGCCTAACTTCTGTTACCTAGGCTCTGGTAACCTCTAGGTCAGATTACTGCAATGTGTTATATGTGGGACTGCTTTTGAGGAGTGCCTCAGAATCTGCAGCTGGTGCAGAATTCAGCAGCAAAGTTGCTGACCAGGACAAGATGGTCTGAACAATCACACTAATTCTTGCATGACTGCATTGGCTCTAATTAGTTCCTGGCCCCAATTCAAAGTGTTGGCTCTGACCTATAAAGCCTTGTACAGTTTGGACCCCAGTACCTCAAAGAATGCCCCTCCACACATGAACCAACCCAGACCCTTCCTGCATCATAAGAGGACCTCCAGGCCCCCTCCAAGGGAAGTGTGGAGGGTGGCAACAGGATAACAGGCCTCCTCAGAGGGGCTCCCCATTTATGGAATGCCCTCCCCAGGGAGGAACATCTGGCACCATCACTATCTGTTTTTAGGCTCCAGGCAAAAACATTTTTGTTCTCCCAGGCTTCTGGGTCTTAATTTTCTGTTTACCTTTGACTGGAGTGGTGCTGTTTTGTGGGTGGAGGTCAAGTCAAGTCATGTGAGAGAAGTTCACGATGCCCTGAATAAAATAAAATATCCTAACAATTTGATATATCATTGTTTTGCATGCAACATGGTGATCCAAAACATTTTTCAATGTTATAAAGGAGCAAGGAAACAAAGCACAAAAAGGAGATAATTCCATCTGCTTAATTATCATGCGTCTCAATGTGTGTGGTTTGGACAGTTTCAGAATCGTCAGGTGGGGTCTGAAATCTTTGCTGCCTCTGATGCCTACATTCATTCTGGTGAATGAGCTCGTCACAGCTTCTAGGAGACAAGTGATGAAAATAAAAGGCATTTGTTTACAGGACATTCAGATACAGGCACTCCATAGCAGTTCTAAGCAAAACAGGGAGGCAGACTAAACACACTATATGCTCCAATGGTGTACAGTTTTTTCATCTATTTACATACCATGGCAATCTTACTTGGCAAGCATGGGAACCTTTATTTTAAAGCAATTACTGAGGCAAAATGTGAAGAGCTAGTATGAATAATACCTGAACAGCACCGTAAGATCAGCCATATCTACAGGCTGTACAGAATACAAGTAAAGAACTGTTAACTTCAGCTGGTCATTCATTCCAGAGAGCTGGAATGGCAACACCAAAAGCCTGGTTTCTAGTATAGGTTAAGTGCACCTCTGGGGGTATCTGGTACTCCTAGTAGTACCCCAAATGAGAAGTACAATTGCAAGGCAGGAGTATACTGGGCAAGACAGTACCTTTGATATCCTGGTCCCAAGTTGTTTAGAGCTTTAATGCTAAAAGCAAGACCTTGAACTGCACTTGGTAGCATACTGGCAGCTGGTGCAGTTCCTCCAGCAGAGGTGTTCTATGGTGTCCATGGGGTGCCCCGTGGACAACATAAAACACCACTGCTGAGGAATCACCAACCTAGATGCAGCATTCTGCACCACCTGCAGCTTCAAGTTAAGCTCAAGCGAAGTCCCACATGCAGTGCAGTGCAGTGCATTGCAGTAGATTTAATGGATCAGCATTTCAATCCCTTTCCTAATGATCATGGAATTCACCTTTTTTAGTAGCTGCCACGCACTGGCTTGACATCTTCACTGAGTTGTCCACTAGAACCCCAAGGTCTATTCCTGGTCAGTTACACACCCCTTTAGCAGATATGTGAAGTTTTGTGTATCAATTTACACTTGCTTACAGTGTTCTGAGGGAATTTGAAACACAATGGCAACAGTGGAGAGACTTGGATGCCCGAGGAAAGGATGTTATACATATGTTAACAGAAATTTAACGAAGCAGGAGAAATCTACTTTTTACACTCAAATAATCAACATCCATAATTGTATTCAATGCTGATATGCTATTTCAGCATTTCACTGAAACAGTAATCTCATGCAAATTGTGAATGTTTAAATACTAACCCACAATTCTGCTTAGCATTTGCTGTTCATCCTCTGACATTTTAATATAGATCACTTGGTTGTTAAACTGGCCAATCCCATGAAATGCCACGCTGAAGAGTTTTCCCTGCAACAAAGCTTGCACTTTGGCCTTGCTGTGCTCCAGAGCAGAAACAGCCCTTTAAACGAAAGAAACACACTCCTAAGTAGGAAATCACCAGCCAAGCAGCTTTGGAAATAAATACTAAGGTCAAAATGGCTTTTTGGAACGTCTGCTTGCATAGATGCAAAATATTCATTGCAAAAGCACAAGGTCAGCATAAAAGAACAAAAATGGGATAGATCTAGATAAGCTTTTCCCTGACCACAGTAGGATCCAGCAGAGGTTCCCACTGAAGGAAGGTGGGAAGCAATCCTCACCAATTTCCTCTGCACACATGCTCAGCACCACCTTCACTGCTACAGAGGATCCCATAACGTTGTGGAGCAGTTTTTCAGAGGGCATGGAGCCGGAAGGGGAAATTGACATAATTCACCTCTTTCTTCCAGTGCAGCAACATGTGGGGGGAACTCCTCAGCAGCCTGGATCAGACCTTTTTGGTCCTGAAGGTCACATGCAGTGGTGGGTGAACATTCGCCACAAGCAAGTATGTGGCCAGAGTCAGCCACATTAAAACTGAGGGAGCCTGCCTGACCAACAGCTCTTTGGTGGGCTAGTGACACATTTTTAATGAGGAGATAAATATGCAGGGAAAACTCTTCCCTTGCATCTCTCTCTCTCCCCCTCTCCCCATTAAAATTATGCCCCTTCCCTTGAATGGAGAAGACCATCCCTGTGTGTCCATCTGCTCATCAAAATGCAGGAGATTGTTCTCCTAGGGCAGGGGTCTGCAACCTTTAAGACAAAAAGAGCCACTTGGACCCGTATCCAAAGAAAAAAAAAATGGGAGCCGCAAAACTCGTCATTATAAAAATAACTTTTTTGTCACTTTTTTATTATTTCTTTGTTTGACCCCTCAGAATTACTCCTCCTCATAGAAATAAACGTTAAATTAACAAGTTTCCTTTTTGTGTGTGTGTGTTCTTCACTCCCCTTCAAAACAGTGACCAGCGTACATGGCCCTTACAATGTAGCGGGCGGGCGGGAAGGTGACGTCGGGACGGTGCGTGACTAACGCACGCACCGCCCCCATGCGACGTCACAGCCAGTACAGCGCCCGCCACAGTGGGGAGTGTAGGGGTGCACAATGCGCCTCCTCCCCTCGCTAGTATCCGCCTCCGGAGCCGCGGGTTGCAGACCCCTGTCCTAGGGGTTGTCTAAGCAGTACAGGGACACCAATCTTTACAGGATTGGGAGCACTGCAGGGATGAGGTTAAAACCCCCTCCCACTGCACATGAAATACTGCCCTCCTTTCCAACTTATGGCTGAGCAGCTCAGCAGCAAAAGGAAGGTGGGGAAGCTCCTCTGGGTTTGGTGGCCTATGAGTTGCCTGCATCAGATATTGGAGGTTCATCCACAGATTGCACTGTCCTCTGTTGTCATCCATGCTGACATTGTAGTAAGTGTCCTTGAGTTTGCTTACTTTCAAGTAAGTATGCTTAGGTCTGATAAGTTACCAAGCATCAAGCACTGAAGAGGCAAGTAAAATGTTTGCTGTATCAAAAGTTCTGCTTGTGTTGAAGGTAGCAGGCCCTTTAAAAGCCTTAGAAAAATAAATTGGGCTTCTTCCTGTATAATATTAAACTGTAATTGTACCACATCATTGTATTACACACTGTTTATTTACTATTATCCCAGAACAAATCCATTATTCAATTAAATTTAATTGATCGTTATCTGTTACACTGCAAGCTCCACAATAGGTTTCGGTTTTTAGTCGTTCATTTCCTGTCAGGCTAAAAACCCCAAAACATACAGTAGTACCTCAGGTTACAGACGCTTCAGGTTACAGACTCCACTAACCCAGAAATAGTACCTCAGGTTAAGAACTTTGCTTCAGGCAGTGGGAGGCCCCATTAGCTAAAGTGGTACCTCAGGTTAAGAACAGTTTCAGGTTAACAACAGACCTCCAGAACAAATTAAGTTCTTTACCCGAGGTACCACTGTACATACATTCTAAACCTGAAGCTCAACCAGTTACTTTAATCATACTCCTAAAAATAAATCCTGAGATATAAAAGATAAACATAAATATTAAATAAGACATTGTTTAAAATAGCTTCTGCAACATAAAACCCTAAGAGATTTCTGAAGGTACCTTGTAGAGCTCCATTTAATTTTATGAAGTGCTATTCATATAGCAGCGCAAGTTTATTTTTTTATAATATATACATTTACAAAAACAGACATATTGATTATTTCCAATGGGTAGGATTGCCCTCAGGCATAAACTATCAGAAACACTTGTGTGATAACAGTCTGCTATACCAAGACCTCTCTGAACCAAGGACATTGGGTTGCCTTCCTCCACCTCACAGCACTTCAGCCCAGAAGCCCTAGTGGAGCCACAGCCTCCTATTTAACACTCATCTTGAGGATGAACTGAGCTGCGGAAGCAGCGACTGAGCACAGCTCATGTGGAGCTTCCACTGCCTGTGCCTTGCACAGAGCTGTCCAAGGTAACCATTGGAGCCTTGCCTCACGTTGCCTCTGTACTGCCAGGTTTATTATTCAAAACAGGATAAGACCACTAGTTATCATGTCCTGAATACTTTGAATGTCATGATACAGTTATGAAACTTTCAATTTTATAATGGTCTTATAGTAACTCACAATAAAGGTTATTTCACCAACGCCAGTCGGTAGGTCACAAGACTCTTGATCTCAGGGTTGTGGGTTTGAGCCCCACGTTGGGCGAAAGATTCCTTAATTGCAGGGGGTTGGAATAGAAGACCCTTGGGGTCCTTCCAACTCTACAATTCTATGATTCCATAACCAGTTCACATTCAGTCAGTGGAAGGATTTCCACTCATACAGCAGAAATTGTCTTCCTTTCCTTCTCCCCAGGCACCCCCTAAATCTATTCTGTAGTAGATTTGGGGAAGGGGAGGTGTGTGCACAGGGAGAGGAGAGGGAGGGTTCCACTGTGCAAGCAGAAAATCTTACACAGATGAACCTAGTTCACTGGATAAACTTACTACCTTGGCTGACCCAAGCTGGAAAATGGACAGGGGTAGCACAACTCTCACAGTGGCATTTGATCCCACGCTGACCATGGTATCCAACACAAAATGTGTTAAGAATAAAAACCATTCATTCATTTAATTGCAAAGCGACATTTTAAGTTATTTCCTCTCCCTGTTTTAAGTTCCCTTGCCTTCTCACATCATATTCTGTCCTCAGATGAGCTACAGTAATCATAAATGCACCGTTTGATCTGGAACTGGGGCTCTCAAGAGGTCAGGCTCTTTGGTGAATATCAGCTCTTAGACATCTTCAATTTTATCTAAACTCTAATGATAAAAAGGAGGTTTATCAAAAATAATGCACCCACTTTGTTAACGTTTTAACCCTAGACCCAGAGATAATTTATTTAGCTTCTTAAGACACTTGGGAAGTGTCCCTGTTCAAGATGTGTTCAGTCATTCTCCAGGTGCCAGGCAGTGATTTGAAGTTATCTCTCTTAAACCAAAAGCAATTTTTAACATCAAACTGAACTCATTTTGGGGTTCATGAAAACAGACTGAGATAAGGAACTTTTTTAGGCTCTAAAAATAAAGTTCTTTGGGAGGGGAGGGATCCTGGATTTACCATCCCTAAGAAACACATTATTGATACATAATTCTTATGTGTAACTTCAGACTTCCAGTTGAGTTGTATCTACTTGACAGAATGCAGAATGCATCTTCACCTTTGCCTGAAGCCCAGAATTTCAATAAGATCTTTCCTTAAATTTTAAATATATAGAGTATATTCTGAAGAAGCAGAAACTGGTTGTGCTATTTCTGAACCTCAGCTTCACCGAGGGCACAAAACTAAGAGAACTAAGTATTGGTGTGGTCTTATGCAGCTGCCAGTTGTTAACAGACTGGAAAATGGAATAGCATTTCCATAATTAATTGTGTGCTACTTCCTGATTACATGAAGAAACTGATGCCTTTTCCCAAGTGGGAAACTGTGATGGCAAATAAATCCGTTCAGATGACTAAATTTGCCACTTTTAAAGACATTGTTTTTGCTGAGCTGCACGGCCTGTTCTCAGCATTTTCCAAGTCTGTTTCATCTGCGTAGCTGAAAAGCTGCAGGAAAAAATACTATGGTTTTTGAAAGAACCTTCAATAGCATTCTTAGGATTAAGATGAATGAATTTAACCAGGAGAGGGAAGTCCCAATGGCCAGAAGCTTAAACATGCACTGAAAAGAAGTTATAATTCTAATTGGTATGGTTCAGTTTTGTTCACTTAAAAATGCACTTATGTTTCTGGGGCACCAAAACCAGACCATAATATTTTCTATACTTCAACAAAAAAAAGTTAAGCATATAGACATGCTGTTCAAGGGCATGTGTCCTTATATTCCATAACCTTTTTTATTATTAGTGCTGCAGGCTTGCATCCTTTTCTGGGTGCCATACATCTGTAGTCAAGAGGGCCAGAGGTCAATGTGAGTGGAGTAAATGTGAATTTCACACTTGCACAGTAGTCTAGTGTCTACACACACTCACAGTTTACTCTAGCCTTAATTCAGGCAAGCAAGAGGCATTATCAGAGTTCAGACAAAAACACTCAAGGAGTATGTGCAGCAAAGCCCATGTGGCAGGAGGAACATCCAACAGTCAGAGAATATAGCCTGGAGGGGCACATACAGACCACCCCTAGGCCTGAGGCTTCCCAGCCCTGCTTAAATTGATGGATTAATCCAGTGGTGGGAAACCTTATTGGTCTGGCAAGCCATGTCCTCATCTGTTTCCATCCCTGTGTGCCCAGAGGAGAAGCATATGCCTGTGCTGCCCAGGGCAGACATGCTCCTGGGGGGGGGGCATGGGAGCGTTCCCGAGGGGGGCGGGGGGCAGAGGGTGCCCTCCCATGTGCCACAGTTCAGGGTAGGAGAGGGGTGGGGAAGCTGCTGCTCACTGATGACCCAGCAATGGAGCTGCTGCGGCCAGGTGTGCTTTGCCACGGCTGAGGTGGGCTGCTCTCTGCTGCCGGGTCAGAAGAGCTGCTGCCACCAGGTGCCAGGTGTGCTGCCCATTCATCTGCCATTTTGTCACCCCCCTCAGTCATGACACCCGGGGCGGACCACACACACCACACACACCACACATCCTTTCCTACGCTTCTGTGTGTGCCAACTTTGATAGGCTGACATCACCTGACAGCATTGCAAGGAGCTCTGCCAGCCCTGCGCTCAGGGCTTATCCTGAGTCTAGGGCTGGCAAAGCTGCATCCTGCAGGTATTGGCTGCATGACTGAATTCACTACAGTGAACTCAGTCATGCAGCTGATGCAGCCCCCTGACATTTGGGTTTTCCAGATCTGTGTATGAGCATTTTTATTTATTTTTTATTTGTCTGCAATTGCCGTTTGCTCTGATTCAGCAGCAAAACATGAGTTTCCCAGGGAAAGCACTGGATGAAAAACAACAACAACCGCTACTTGGACCTGTGCCCAGAAATGTGGCATAAAAGGAAGTGTGGACGAGCCCATAGTTACAGCAAATTAAGTACTAATTAGGAACGGCTTAATGATTTTTAATCCACATCACAGCATTCCAATTATTAAGCCAAATTTGCCTTACCTGGTCATTTGCTATTGGGATTGCAACAAAATAGGCATATCCCTTCTGTGTTTCTTAGATACATTTTTTTCTTTGTGTTCCTGTTCCTTCTCTTCTACTTTCATCTTTTGGGTTCCTTCATCTGAACCATGTTGCTGCTGATGAGAGGAAATGTCATCTTCATTTTCATGTTCCTGCCGCTTCTCTGTGGTTGGGTCTTGTGTGTCTTCCTCTCTCATACTACAAGATTGAAGTTTTAGCATATTTGTTAGTTCTGCATTTTGGCTGTCATCATGCAATTTCTTCTCCATCACCATCACCTCTAATCTTTCTTTTTGCTCTCTTTGTAGCAGGTCTTCGGCCTTTAGCTGCTCTGTGCTGCTTTGGTCCCACTTACGTTGCTGTTGCAAGCTCTCATTCCCCAGTGATTGATTCATGTTCTTCCATAGGGACTTTGAATCCAACAGATTTGTCTCTTCCCGATCTTGTTGCTCCTGCTCCTCTTCCATTATTATTCAATTCTTGCACTGGGTCTGCTGCTGGTCTTGTTTTTCATGAGGTGCATCCTTGTACCTGTTATTGCGTTGCCAATGGGCATCCTCACAAGGAATTTCTCCTTCATGACCATTCCCATGTACACATGGGTGGGGCATCTCTCTTGCTGCAATCTGCTGTTGCAATTTTACAGACACACATGATACCTCTCCAATTTTGTTCCACTCTTGTTGCACCTTGGCTGTTACTGATAGCATATTTTGTCCTTGTTGTACCTGTATGGTCATCTAGGGAACCTCTCCTCTTCCATCCCATTGCTGCTGAACAGTCACCGTCACATACTGTGCTTTATCTCTTTTCCCCTATTGTTTTTGTTGACATTAACCATTACAGATGGCATCTTCTTTTCCTCAGTCTGAGTTTGCACTGCTACACCGAAAGTAGGCCTTGCTTTGGCCTATTGTATATTTCCCACCCTTGCCTATTGACCTTCACCTGGAAGCTTTGGAGACTTCCCATTCCCATAATTTTCTTCAGACGGTAACAGCTGCAATTGAGCCATCATCTTTAGTCTACAACACCAACACTGCTTCTTCCAAAACGGGTTCCTCCTCCAGAATATTGTCCTTTTTTTCTAGGTCTGAAATCTGCTTTGTAGAAGAGACTGAGAAATGGACAGATGCTAACACGAAATTCCAAAACCATGAATAAGAGGTAAATAATAATTCCACTTGATTGTAACACTGTAACACATCCTGAGAAAGGTCTAAGCTCAAAAAAAAGTGGCATGAGGACAGTAGGACCATATTGGTTCACATTATTTCTGGTTGAACACAGGTTGTCCAAGTGTCACAAGCATTTGGGGATGCTGAGAACTGAGTGATAAGAACAAGGAACAGTTTACAGACCCAAGTAGGCAAAACAGCTGCTTAAAGGCAAAACCAATATGGAATGATTAGCACGAGAATATATGTATTTGACAGGCATGAATTGCTCTGTGTTATACTGTAAATGGATACAATATATAAGACTTCAGGAAACAGTCTCTGTGATGAAAATCATAGGATGACACTAGAAAGCTCACAGCGGAGAAAGAAAAATATGCAATTTAGCATGATACTTACTTTCAAATATTTCTCTAATGTCAGCATCAAGGAAGGGATGTTCTGTCAAATTTACTTTCTTCTCAGTCCTCAAGCTATATTTTGTATAATTACAATACATATATACAGCACAAAATATTACAAAAAATTAGTAAAACCAGCAAATCAAATAAATTAGTGAGACCACGAGACTTGCTATGTAGCTAAACATTCTGTATGTGCTGTATTGCTCCAGACAATTTTACTCTAAGCTCTTGTACACTATCTTTGTGACATCTTGGTTGGCATAATAAAGGGATAGATGCAGTGCTTTTTTTCTTTAAAAAAAAGTTTAAGGGTTCTCTCATTTTGACTCAGGAAAATCACCATTTTATAGTTCAAATCAGGAAAAATAAATACAGTAAATGGACAAAAGTACAAAGATTCACAAAATGCTTAGGGGTATTTTTACCCCCCTGCGTACCCCCAGAAAAAAAGCACTGGATAGATGTATGTGGATTTTTTTATATTATTATTTTGCATATGGGGCCAGCACAGCTACCTTTTCAGAGAGAGAGAGAGAGATGGTTTTTCAGCACATAAGAGATGAAAATGGAAACTTCTTGAGATTCCAAACGACAGGGCAAGGGACACAGAGATATGAAACTTTTGATGTAGGAAATATATCCTGCCTCTTGCCACCTACTAGCAAGGAGATTGCAAAGTTTCCAAGAAATGAGAGATTTGATAGCTTAGCGTGCTTAAGGCAAAGCTGCATGGCATACCAGAGAATTTTAAAGGTAACTTCTAAGGCGAGATGGATGTCTTAGGCTTTGGGGGAATCACTGCCTTGTCTTAGTATTCTAAATTGTGCCACCTAGAATGAGTCATAGGATAATTACATAACTAGAGCAGAGAAACCCCTTCTAAGCTGCTAAACCTGGAACTATTTATGTGGCTGGGGGCTTCATTCCCCTCCTACCACTCCAGGAGGCACATTTAATGGCTTTGAATTTAATAGGAGTCTGGTAGGTACACAAAATGCATAATAGACTTGTCCAAATACTGTAATTTTGAGAGTTGCATTTTCCATTGCCAAGAGTCGAGATGTGGGGTCAGAGAACCAGCTGTTAATGGATTTTCTTTTTTAAAAATTGCACGTTTCCAGAATTGAATTGAATAGTCTCATGTAAATCAGCACAGTAGGTCACAAAACATATTCCATTTTGTTTCCAATTAAAGCTAAATCCAAGGGTATGTCAGCAAATCTGAAGACAGAATTTAATGGAGTAGAGCTTTTAATTTGGGTTGCTTTATTACCCCTGAGAATGGCAAGGAGTCAGCCAGTATACACTTGAGTAATGTGCAACTGGTGATCTTGAGGACAATCCTCGCCAGGCAGCTATAATTTCTTGTGTTATTGCTAGCATTTCAGCGACTGAGTGTGTGTGGCAGGGGGAGGTATAGGAAGGCTGGTGAAGGAAAACTGACAAAATTGGCAAAGGACTGGAATAAGGGGGTTCTGTTTAGTATGTGCAGTTGAGCGTCCCTCCAGATTGGTGTTTTATTTGGGCATATTCTGCAACATGTCGTTGAACAGTTATAGTGCATTTGTGATGGCTTTCTTTCGCATTATGACTTGTTCTGCAATGCTACCACACTATTGCTGCTTGGAGGGGATGCAGCACCACTGAAGCAAGACAAAAAAAAAAAAAAAGCCCAGAACATGAAAGGTCACATGATTTTGTCAGGAAGTTATGGGAGCTGGAGTGATTGGAAAAGATGCAGTATGGCTGCTTCAAAACCTTTGCACAAATAGCATCACAAGTTGGATCACTTATGACCATCCCAGTACCATCATGAGCACAAATCATTGCCAATGCTCAAGAAAAGGGACACTGGGAGTTAAACTGTATGATAAAAGCATGAATTAGATGTATTACTCACATGTATTACAGTTTTCTGCATGCAGTTTAGGACTCGTGCATTCTGTATCATTCTCCAATTTCATGTGTTTGTGCAACCTCTTCTATACATTTCCAGGTACAACAAAAGGCAGGGATTTTTTCAATATTTGGGGTCAATGTTCTGGACACCCAGCCCAAATATCCGCCCATCTTTGGAGGGAGACATTATTCCCATTCATGAATATATGAAAGCACAGGAAACATGGACCCATCTATTCCCCACCTTCTGTTCCTACCATCCTCTGGTAACACCTGTTGAAACTTTTCTATTCATATCCATGCTTAAAAAACAAAGTTCTACTAGTGAATCTCAACTTGTTCCTTTTCTACTTTTAGTACAAACACAGGATGATTTTTCATGTTATATTCAGAGTATACCATTAAAATCAATGGATTCCAGTTACTTAAGCCTATTTCTTTCTATGGGTCTACTCTTAGCATGACTATGGGGGGTATCCAGTGTTAGTCACTGAATATCAGGCAAAGTTTACTGTTACTTAGTTATTAACTAATATTAAGTACTGCTCATCACACTGAAAGATCTTGTTAAGCTTTGCCATGATATAAATTTTTAATATCTCAATTATTATTTAAGCAATTCATTGCATTTATATATATATATATAAAAGTAGTGGCTATGTGTGGTCACAGCAGTTGCCAAGATCATGCATATATTGATGGATAAAAATAGTTTTTTCCCATAAGCCAGGGCTCTTAGGAATACCTATTCAATAAAGCTAGAATTACAGAAACTCCACAATGTCTTAATTTAAGTCAGCCAGCATTTTAAGTGCGCCACAGAACAAAATGATTGTGCAGTTTCTGGTTAATATGCTTTAAGAAATAAAAGCAGCAGCTACACTAAAACATCTCCATAGGAGCTAATCACTGAATGACTTTGCCCCGCATTTTAAGAAGTTTTCACACTTTGCCAAGACCTGTGTTTAAACAGATTAATCTAACACACACACACCTGCAACTCAAGAAAGCACTCAGACCTAAGACAGACATCTACGTGTTTTTGTATGTGTATCAATAGTGCTATAATTGTCACCAACATCATAGTTTTTAAACCAAGGCTAGGCCCCCAATTTTCCCTCCCTTCTCACATTGCAACACCACATACATTTAAATGGCCATCCTATCTCCCAGGTGATGATTATGTAGAAGCAATAGATAAAGAAGAAAAAAGCTGTTACCACTGGATTGATATCTGTACAGAGCACTTGTTAAGATCTGGTTGTGCAGATCTTTAAGCATATTGCTGCTGAAACTTCAAGCTCTCTATGCACACAGGTAGGGAGCTTCTTCTGCTTATTGATTTACAATGTGTCAGTTCAGAAGCTGTAGGTAGAGCAATTAAAAACAAAACAAAAAAACAGCCTTCTAGCTTTTGCCATCCATAAACTATAGGAGGCTGAAGTTGCATGTCTCTGATCTTTTCCTCCACCAGCCGCTACCAGCAATGGTGGACCTTGGCATATACAATTTCAGTGGTGCTTTGTGCAATGCCAAAATCCACCACTGCCCCCACCTTTTGCTTTCCATTGGACACAATAGTGGCAACACCTTTGGTGCTGCCCCAAAAGCTCCATGCCCTGTGATACTGAGCTGGTCATGTTTCCCTTTACCATCAGTGTTAAGCATCTGACACTGCAATCCTGTCTATGCAGAAGTAAATCCTATTGAGTTGAGTGTGGCTCACTCTCAAGTAAGTGGGCTTAGGACTGCAGCCTCAATGTGCTATAATGTATTGTATTAAGCTGCAGACACAAAGTCACTGAAAAGATGTAAAGTTGCCATTCTTCCCAGTCTTCTGCCTCCGCTAAGCTTCCCCATTGTTGCCACCGCAAACACACACACTATTGGTCTGTTATACACTCACTCTGCAGAAGAAGGGGATGCTTAAAGAAACCAAAATGGGGAAGCATCTGTTGAAAGAAAGCTCAGGGGCCATAACCAGCCAAAATAACACATTCACAGTACAAAGATTTATCGATTGCTGCCATTCCGTTCCAGTGCCTTCACCATTGTTTCACAAAATTAATTTAGACCAGTGCTTAACTTTCACTCCAAACTATGTCACCTTTTAGCATAAATCTCATCAGTTAGAAATGCCATTATGGCTTACACCTTTCATTTATTGCATAATAAAAAGTACATTAAATATTCATTTTAGGAAGAATGAACATATTTCCAAATAAAATATTAACTTCCACTAGTCTGAATGTGACAGGGAACCTCGAACATATAGACAAGACACAAAGGGCCCAAGACACCAACATTTTGGATCCCGCTATCAAACAAGATCCAAAGAATGCTGAAAATAGCAAGGTTTAAACATAGAATTTCTAATAACTGCATATTTTCCTACAGGTATATTATTAACAAGATTTGTAACAGTATTGCAAAAAGCCCGACTCCTTAGCCCTAGTGTGTATGTAAAGCGCTCAGGATATTTGAAGGGCTGCCCACTTTCATGTCATCCTGCTCATCTTGTTGAGAACTGGCAAGAGGTCCTGGTCCTTTCTTACTGCTAACTCAAGTACAGACAAGTGTGGGCAACAGCATGCCACTTCCCTTTCAGAATTTAAATACCTCCCCCCCTCTTTATGCTTATTTTCTAATACTGAGACAAAATTCTTTTGCTCAAGCTTTCCAG